AAGAGTTAGTTAATGTCACTGTAGGATAATGAACCACGATTGCTAATGAGTCTACAGTGAATTCCTCAAGGAGCGTCTCTTTGGCCTCTCAAATCCCCAGGGCAACCATGGCGAGAGTGTAAAAGAGGCTCACTTCCACGTCGATAATACTCCTGTCAGTCATCTTCGCATCTTACTTTCACTCAATTGGCCTGCTAACGATTTAATTAGACTGTAATCCGCCCACTTTCCCAAACTCACTCTAAGCTGACCAGTCATGATAGCACTCGTACATGAAATTTCTTTACAAATATCCACAGAAAAAGTTCCCCTACAAAGATCTGATCGACGAAAACGCTCGACGAGGAAAGGAAGATAAAGAATACCAGATCACCGATACCGGCGTCTTTGACGAGGACAGATACTGGGACATCTTCATTGAGACTGCGAAAGAGACCGATGACCCCGATGAGATCCTCTTCCGAGTTACTGCCTGGAACCGAGGCCCGGATCCTGCGCCTCTCCACATCATTCCCCAGGTTTGGTTCCGCAATACTTGGAGCTGGGGTCGAGAGCCAGAGGAGAAGAAGCCTTCAATTACATACGTCGACGAGAATGTGGCCAAGTCTAACCACTGGAGCTTGGGTGAGCGACACTTCTTGTGCTCCCCTTCACCCGGTGTTGGCTCCAGCGGTGACGATGTGATGCCCCAATTCATGTTCACTGAAAACGATACCAACTTCAAGGCTCTCTATGACCAAAAGAACAAGCAACCCTATGTCAAGGATGCATTCCACCGATACATTGTCGACGGAGAGAAGGAGGCCGTTAACCCTGCCAAGACTGGCACAAAATGTGCTGCATGGTTCAACTTTAACGAAGACGGCGGTGTTAACCCCGGCGAATGTGCTGGTAAGTATTATTGATTTCAAGCTACAAAATTTGTAACTAACTCTTGATTTAGTCGTTCGATTCCGCTTTACCAGGAGAGACGACAACTACCTCGACGAGGAAGACTTCGATGATGTTATTGAGAGCCGCAAGGAGGAGGCCGATGAGTTCTACTACAGACTCAGTCCTCTTCCCATGGCAGATGATTTGCGCAACATCCAGCGACAAGCTTTCTCCGGCATGATGTGGACTAAGCAACATTATCACTTCATCTGGGACCACTGGGCGAATGGTGATCCTACTATGCCGCCTCCTCCAGCTTCCCGGAAAGATATCAGAAACTCGGCCTGGAAACATATGCACTGCGACGACATTCTATCCATGCCCGATTCATGGGAGTATCCTTTCTTTGCTGCTTGGGATAGTGCCTTTCACTGTATTCCGTTGGCCATGATTGACCCCGACTTTGCCAAGAAGCAGCTTGATTTGTTCACTCGAGAGTGGTACTGTCATCCCAACGGACAGTTGCCGGCGTAAGTGACTTGCTCTGCTTGATCCCTAGAACATCATGTGCTAACATGTCTCCAGATACGAATGGAACTTTGGTGATGTGAATCCCCCAGTTCATGCATGGGCGACTTTCAGAACGTTCAAGATTGAGCGCAAGATGTATGGTCGTCAGGACTTGGACTTCCTAGAGCGCGTATTCCAGAAGCTACTCCTCAATTTCACCTGGTGGGTGAACCGTAAGGATGCCGATGGCAAGAACGTGTTCGAAGGAGGTTTCTTGGGTCTAGACAACATTGGCTTGTTCAACCGTTCAGAGCCTCTGCCCACTGGCGGTGTCCTAGAGCAAGCCGACAGTACTGGATGGATGGCGTTCTACTGTCTTTCTATGCTCAACATTGCTCTTGAGCTGGCCAAGCATCGCCGAATCTACGAGGATATCGCATCCAAGTTCTTCGAGCACTTCATCTTCATTAGTGATGCGATGACCTTCAGAACCGGCCACAAGGACGAAAAGTCCCTATGGAATGAGGAGGATGGCTTCTACTATGATGCTATTTCCTGGGGTGGCCCCTGGATCCAGCAGCTGCCCGTGCGATCGCTTGTGGGCTTGATCCCTCTTTATGCGACCATTACTCTGGAACCAGAGTTGATCAACAGGCTCCCTTCTTTCAAGAAGAGAGTTGACTGGTTCATTGAGAACCGATGCGATCTGGCTGAGAGAAACATGGCCAGCATCCGAAAGCGAGGTAAGGGCAACCGTATTCTGTTGTCCATCGTGAGCAAGGACCGATTGGAGAAGATCCTTAAGCGCATGCTCGACGAGGACGAGTTCTTTAGTGATCACGGTATTCGCTCCCTCTCCAAGTTTCACAAGGAGAACCCATTCTCCATGGACGTAAACGGCCAGAAGTTCTGTGTTGGATACGTGCCAGGTGACTCAGATAGTGGTCTGTTTGGCGGCAACAGTAACTGGAGAGGACCTATTTGGCTCTGTGTCAACTTCCTCCTTGTGGAATCCCTGCAACGGTTCTTCCTCTTCTACGGACCAGACTTCCAGGTGGAGTGCCCGACTGGTAGTGGCGATTACATGCACCTGGGCAAGGTATCTGAAGAGATTCAGCACCGTTTGCAGCACCTCTTCGCCCGTACCGATGACGGAAGACGCAGCATCAACGGCGGTGATGATCGTCTTGACTTTGATGAGCACTGGAAGGATTACCTTTGGTTCCACGAATTCTTTGATGGTGATAACGGCCGTGGTCTGGGAGCTACTCACCAGTGTGGATGGACTGGACTGATTGCTCGCATGATTCATGATACTGGGTATGTTTTGTATGATCTTCTGGTGATGAACAAGTTTGCTAACATTTATAGCGTCAACTGCCGCCTTCCTCATACTCCTCGCACGCCTTCAATTGCCATGAGCCACTACTTTGACGACATCTTCCATCGAAGCGTCGAGACAGGTGTTCCTCACTCTGGTATGCCTCGCATCAGGCGGTCGTCCACAGCTCGGTCAATCGGTGCCCGCAGTGACTTTGACGATGATACTCGCTCTGTGACCAACTCGATCTATCACGATGATCCAGATCGAGCCAGGGAGCGCACTGAAGCCGATGCTCACATGCACAGCTACGTCTCCGAGCAGCTTGAGAGGTACAAAGATGATAAGAAGGATGGCAACTATGAGCATGATGACGAGTTCGAGACCAAAGCATAGGAGACTTGCACGGTTATTGTGTGAATTGAAAGATCGGTGCTGTCAAGAGCAAGGAATAGGTAATTGGGCGTTCTTAAAAGCAGGCCTGGCCAATTGTGCCGTGTTCTGGAGTAGCAAGGTATCCTGAGTTTATGGGCTTAGACATATCATTCAGCAATCCAAGTAGTCATGATACAGTAGAGTTTTTCTTTCGTATTGTTGTCTGTGATGAATATCCAATGACATCACATTATAGCAATGGATGATAAATATGTTCAAGTCACTGACATCAGTTGTTTGATTGGGGTGAAGATTTCGATTATGTGTGAGCTCGTCTTCCAAGTCAGAGAGATTCATCATTGTTTTTTTCTTTTTACAACAGACAGACAAACTGAAAGTCATCACGCCGAACAAAGAGAATTCAATTGGGGAACTGCTTTATTGCATGCCCTGTTCACACCCTCCTACACTATTCTTTCCATCGACGCTCTCCCCATTCTTCTCCTCTAGCCCGGGGATACAACAGCAATTGGGCTTGGAGGACTCGAAAAGAAACAGGCGGAAGAGAAGCCCCAGAAGCCGATGGGCAAGCCGCTTAGAGCTAGTTTTGCGTGGTGACGGATCCCACGAGACGAGGCAAAGGAGACACTAAATAGAGTTTGTATACTATGTTGGTGGTTTTACAGAGAGTCCGTGAGGAGCTTGTTCATCTTGGCGATGCGGGAAGAGACGCTGAGGTCGATGGTGCGGTCGCCGATTTCAACGACAAGTCCACCAACAATCTCGGGGTTAACCTGGGGGAGGGGGTTAGGAGTTGAGTCGTGGTGATGGTATGGTCTAGACATACCTCGTTGGTGACCTTAAGCTTCTGACCCTGGCCGACGTAGGCAGACTTGGAGACGGCAGTCTCCAATCGGTTGAGAGTTCGCTTGTCGAGAGCCTAGAGACGACAATGTCAGTCCATTGTCCTTTATGTTCCATGCCATGATATCCATCTGTTCATCCATCCTTGTCGTATCCCCAGTATAGATATGCTGTGACGTAGCTTCCCGCTTCCAATCCATGTCGATTGATATATCCCCAAACGTACCTGAGCGCTGGTAACAGTGAGCTCAACCTCACCGCGGGCGGCAGAGATGATGGAAGAGAACTTCTCAACAACACCGGGGATAAGTCCAAGTCGGTTGTTCTCGGCGAGGGTGGCGAGGAAGTTCTTGACGGTCTCGTCCTTGGTGTTGATCTGCTTCTCGAGCTCCTGGACGATGGCCTTCTTGTCGGCCGCGGTGAGGGTAGGGGCGGACAGGACGGCGGCGAGCTTGGGGTCCTTCTCGATGAGAGCGCCGAGTCTGTTCAGGGCATCGGCAGCGGCGTCGATGCTCGAGGTCTTGACGGCGGCAGTGTACTAAATTGACGCAAAAGAAAAAATTGCGTGTCAGCGACGACGCGATTCCAATTGAGGTTTCTGTGCCATGACGAGGGGAGTACAATTGGCCTACGAAGCCAATTGACACATGAAAGGTTCGAGGCACGATGCTTTCTTCATTGTAGGCGGTGCATTATTACCAGAGCAGTAGCATATGTGCCATCAACGCCGAAGACGGAAATCGGGGGCTTGACTTCGGTCGAGGCAGCGGCAGCGAAGGATCGGACGGGGGCGGCTCGGAGGGCGAGGGCTCGCTGAGGAGCGGCGACTCGGGCGGCGCGGAGAACCTGTCGCGAGAACATGACGGCGGCTGCTTTGACGAGGACGAGAAGGAGGGAGATGAGAAGAAGGGTGTGATGGTTGATGTTCGGCTTCGATTCACTTGGAGGTTGTTGCTAGCCTGGGGTCTCGGCAATTTTCGGGCGCTTGATGCCTTACGTCCGTTCCAGGCACCCACTTTCTGATTACATAACTCAATATCAAATATCAAATATCAAATATCAGACATTTGTATCTCTTGGCTCTTGAGTTTCTATCAGAGAAGGTCAATCGGTTCATGGAATACCAAAATAATAGTCTCGTTGATTCCTCAGGACTCATTCTTGTTAATGCACAAGCAAGTTACTATAGTGCGGAACCCCAATGGCGCGGAACGACTAACAGCCTGCTCCCTATCAATCATGATCATACAGCCAAACAGCTTCTTACACTCTAGAACCTTTCCTCAAACGCCCAAAACTCCCAATTGCTAAGTGTCAGTACCTGTACCAGTTCCTTCACCCTCAAACTTCTCCTAGTCGCTCTTGAGCATGCTGTCCACCAGATCACCAAGAGGACCCCAGTAATCTCTACCACTCGCCAGGCCGTGCTCATCAACAAACAGCACGTACTGCTTGAAGCTCGTGTTGAGGTGCGGCTCGAGACCGAGCTCACGAATCACGGGGTAGTGGTGGCAGTAGATGTGTGCATATACACGGTACATGCGTTTGAAGATCTGGCGAACCAGCGCTGGGAATGATTTGGGGAAGGGTACGCCTGGTGACTATTAGTGTAAGTTCCCGAGACTATGAAACCACCCAATGCCTACCGATCTTGCTGGGCAAGACTTGTTCGTTGTCGATATTCGCCTGCACCCATGACATGAGCTGCTCAATGTATGCTGGCGCAGGCATCTTGGTTGGACGCTTGTAGTTCTCATTGTCTTGCCACAAATACTCGAACCTATTTCTGTCAGTTTCTGAGTTGTCCTTGGCTTAGGGAGCCCTACTCATCAGTAGCCTTCATTTCAGGGCATGACTGTGGTGAGCAGAACTCGGTAATGGCACCGTAGAGAAGGTTGATCTGGTTATAGAAGTCCACCACTGGGCCATGAAATTAGCCACGTCTCCTCACAATGCTCAACTTTGGTAAACTTACTGTTGACAGCTAACCATTCGTTCTCGTCCTCGCCTTCTGGAAGCTTGACAACCTTGCGCAAGCTGCCACCGCCGAGCGTCACCTCAGCATATTGTCGCAACTGATAACTGGCCGAGCCGCCCTTGCCCACGCGCGGGCGGAACTGGTTTCTCGTCCGCTGGTTACTATTCACCAAAGTTCCCGGGTCAGCAAGTGTCAACTCATCCACAAACATCAGAGGTTCTCCCGATAGCGAGACGGGTATAATGGTCGTTTCCAACTGCTGCATCGTCAAAAGCGACTTCGGGTTCAAGTATCGAAACATGCTGGCGGTGTGCGGCGGCGAACACGGGGACTCCATGGTTACGGCGTTTGGGAATAATGTAGAGAGACTAACACGGTAGTTAAGAAGGCTTGAGCCATTGTGAGCGGCGATTTCGACGAGGTCTCAAAAGGTCGAGTTGCGATGCTATTGCATTCCAGCGGTTAGCGGGGCAATCAATCATGGGTTATAGTGAGGGGAGACAAACAAGGCTGGGTAAATGAGACAGATACCTCTAATCTTTCTCGTGAATAATTAGATGCGATATTGCAGAATCGTAAACTGCTAGGATGGTGCTTTGTGTATTGTTTTGGTAAGGGGTTGCGGCTGAACCTTATTGTTGAGGGTGATAGGGCAAAGGTGCAATAGGTAAGGTTGAGTGTACGTTATCGATGGCGTAGGACAGTTGCACTGTTTACTCTATTTCCTGATTGGTTTGGTTGCTACGGAGCCTGGTCATCCCACGAACCCCACCATCCGCCTAAGCTTGATGCCAGCCTAGCCCGTGCATTTGATGATTGAATTTCACAGCTCCTCAAACTTTGATTATTATGACACTATTTATTACGGCTTTTTGGAAGACGGTTTGCAAATATTCGAATTAAAGTTGAATCATTTAAAATATATGCTGTAGTCATTGGTGGTTCTACTGAGGCAGATGCTTGTAGATGCCCGTACCCTTAGTCGGCTTCTGATGAAAGATTAGGGATGGCTGTGCTCTAATATTTGTGATTGCATACGCCCATTCATCTATATAAACTTCAACTCCATCACCATCTTCCTCCACGGCCTCTCCCTTGCCCCCTTCCTCGTCCTCTACCGCCTCCACGACCTCTGCCACGACCAGAGAATCGTTGATCAGTTTTGGGCGGTCCCTGTGCTTTCCTCTGTCGCCTCTCTGTATCTGTGGCATCCCATATATTTGCAAGCCCCATAAGTTCACAGAAAGCCGCCATCTGAGGGCTGGTGTACTCTTCTGGCTGCTCGTTAACAATCTCGGGAGCACCTGGTACGTGAGGCGGTGCTGTGATCTCAAAGTTGTAAGGAACATCTAGCTTTCCACTCTGGACAACATTTTCCTCGATCCATTCTCTCTCTTTTTCGATGAGGGGCAGATAATGCTCTTCCCCAAGATCAGGAGGCGCCTGTACACTTCGGTCACCAACAATCAAGGAGTCATGGAAGACGCGAGTGATTGCGAGCCATTCCGGATCGTATTGCAACCTCCAGCGAGGTGATTCCTGGGATGGGGGGTACTCAGAACTCGTCTCTGGCTTGAAAGGTTGAATCTCGCACAGTTGTAAATAGTGTCTATGCCCTTCGCACTTGTCTAGAGCAAGAAATCGAACCTCTTTGTTCGTGATCTCAGGAGGTACTGGTTGGCCTGGTGTTTTCTTTGGTTGAGGGCGAGCAAACGATGCTGGAAGCTGCGCCCTTAGCTCATCCGACACTTTATTTGACGCCTCTGGAGCTTCTTTCGTCTCAGCCTCGCTCTTCTTGACTTCTGCAACAGGTTCAGCCTTGGAACCCTCGTCGTCATCGTCATCCATATCCAAGTCTATTTCGTCAGGGTTGGCCTCAGTAGCTGGGGCTGGAGCAGGAGCAGGAACGAGAACTTCCTTGCTCTCTTGGGCCACAGGTTCGGCGTCTTTGTATACCTTGACCGCAGCGAACTTGACGTGCATGTGGGCTGAGAACCAGTAAGGAGGTCGCAGGCGGTCCATGACATACTCTGCTGCCACGTTACCAAGGGTACCATCTATGGACTCCTGTTTGAAGAAAGGTTTCTTTTTGAAGAGTTCTGCATGATCCCCATGCCACTCAACTGCACGTGGCCAGTCGTGGCTAAGGCCGACGTCCACCTGAGTCCGTACTTGAAGCATTTTTCGGACGTCGAATTCTCGAATATGGTACCACGACTTAACGTCATCACCGCTGAATGGAAGCCTCTCGTGATGCGGCTTTCGATAGTCAAACCCCTTCCAGATACCAGACAATCCAGCAATGCGTAGTGGGCCGAAGCGCAAGATATTGGCAGCACCCATGTAGTAGATATTGGGTGCTACCCAGCCTCCATAATAAAGCTCCCAGAGATGTGAACTGGCTTCGTGGTTTCCAGCAATGAATATTGTTAGATAGGGTGCTTTTTGTTCACCAGAGTAGTACTTGGGAAAATCTCCCAGGCGTCGGTACTTGACAGGGCAAGACATGATGCTCAAATCTGCAGCATTTCGTACAGACTGTGACGCGGTGTGAGCAAACTAACGGAAAGGACATTGAAGCTGAACGTGAACTGAAAATACCTGAAAATCGCCTCCAATGATGAGAATATCGACGCCATCCCACCCACGTTGCTTACAAGACTCTTCCACTGAGGCGTAGATCGCATCTAACGTGCCATGGCCCTTGGGTTGTTAATGCCATCTCGATTTCTCTATTGCTCGAGGAAACTCACACATCCTTCTACTGCAACTCGGACGCCCTGCGTCTCGAATGTGTTTGCAGCCATTTTTCGTGCTGACGTGAAATTATAGTTGTAGATGGAAAGTTGAGGCTGAGTGGGTTCACAAACAGAAGCTGGTTTCCTTTATGGGCAAGCAACTGCTTACAGCGATAGCACCAAGCACTGGACCATTTAGTCACACGCTTTCCTGCCTAAAACAATGACTCAGATATTGGAATGAGACAAACGTTTATATCACATAAGCTCAAGCCTTCATAGTCATTTTTTTCCTATTCGAGGCATGGCAGCGCTACCAATTGGTCCTGGGTCTCCACCATGCTGAGATGTAGTAGGAGAACCACCAAGCACAAGGATACCCAGTCTCTTGATGTGAGTCCGTGAATTAAGGTCGAGTCTTTGCTTGGGGCAGTGACCATTGAGTGGTAATGCTTGATCATGAGTCAACATATCCTTGTCTTCCATGCCGCATCCATCAGCTTAAGTGAGTCTTATGTACGATGGACTAGCTTCCCTTGCCTTCTTATGGGATTACTCCGAGAGTGCATGAAGTACAGAATATTGATGACATACATTGAAAAGTTTCACTTAAACCAATTTTACAATCAAGAAATGTTGCCCTTCAGAAAAAGCGAAAGCTCAATGCGTCAACTGAGTCACGCAGAGTGAGAGGGTTACTTTAATCTTCCATCTCTAATAGACGTTCGACCCACGGAGGAGTGAAGAGAAGAACGCATATGCTGAAATGGTGACAAGTCAAGGTTGCGCATGTTGGCATCGGAATCAAGAAACTAGATCTGTTCTGGTTCGACGTGTGTCAATCGTCTCTAGTGTAAGTCCATTACCATCATTCGCAAGAACAAAGATAAACTGTAAGGTCTGAAGAGAGCTGCATAAGACCGACTGAACCTCACCATACCAACTCCAAAACGCCGTCATTAAATGCTGAGATTAGGGCATACTCTTCATGCCCATATCTGAGTTAGGATCTCGTAGCTTCTCACTTCATGCCCATATTCGCCCTGGATGAGATTAGTATCGAAGCAATCGGTTGTAGCAATGCATGGCTGGGCTGCATACTGGTCCAGGCCCAGGTAATCTGCCGCGGCCAACAGTTCGAGGCAGAGCTCGACCGGGATCTCCATGTCGGGAACATCCTCGCTGTCACGGTAGCGGTACCAGTAGTGGAAGTATTCGACAACCTTATCAAGGACCATGGCGCTGTTGATAGAATCGTCATCAGCGTCTAGCTCTTCCAGGTTTGAAATGGTTCAGCAGAGACAAGGCACGACCAGGCTCGGTGTGCGTGTGGTCAGGTCAAGTGTAGTGAGTAGTCATATAGCCCAACTGAGAGATCTCGGTTGTTCTGTCTGGAAAGCATGATGAAGTGTCATCAATCCACGCAGCTGGCCATCTGGAGAAGATGGCATGTCGATGATATCAACCTACCTCATCTCTTGGAAGACACAACGGGCCTCTTTGGCTTCGGCGAACTGGCTTCTCACGTCGAGCATGCCCTTGATGATTGGACTGACAAGAGCAGCATCGCGAAGAACGACAAACTCGAAGCCATCGCCAGAAACGAGAGTGATGTATTTGCTGGGTGTCTTCCAGTCCATGACTGAATGTTCTTTGCTGCGTTGTTGACGACAAGTTTACAAAAGAAAAGAAAGGAAGGAAGAGAGAAGAGGATTTGCTGAGAGGAGAGGAAGAAATAGGCAGAGACTGAATGGATATGGAGCAAACACGCGCTAGTAGCAGGACCTTGCCGTGAACAAAGAGGCGAGAAAGTGGCAGTGAAAGTGAGTGACCTTGGCTTGGAAATTTTCTCGTGAGCAAGCACGTGCACGGACCAATCATCTCCGTCATTTTCAGCTCCGATGCATGAAGTGACCCCCCGGATAGAGATAGCAGTTGCCCCGTCAACATGTTTACTCGGGTAACTTGGTGGTGCAACAAAGCCACACTTGAGACTTGACTCCCCATAGTCCTTCCACTCTTTGGTCTTGAAGCGACTAAGTTTAAACTTGCCGCAAACAAACAACTCAAAACCGAGTCAACACAAGCAAAGGAGCTCTACCAGACAAGAAATCATCTTTCAAAGGATCCTTTTAGCCCCAAACATCTCAACTCAACTCAATTAGGCCCATAATCGTCTTCCTCTTCGTCCTTATCTCGTCCTCGCCCTCCTCCACATCACTCCTCTCCCCCGTTTGCTCCATCGCATTAAACGCTCGATTGCTTTGTCTCTCTTCCACCCCGCACCATCAGGAGCACTATACAGCCGAACATTATTCATTCTTCAGAAGCGCATTCTTAAGGCGATCTCTACCAAAGGCCAAGCAATCCTCAAAAAGACACGCGCTTGAGCCTGCACTCCCGACCCTGCAGCACAGCCTTGCGCCCAAGCATGGCATCGTCGCATCAGTATCATACTTCGTACTTTGACACCAACGAGCAGATCCGACGTCAACAGCGCACGCGCTCCAGTGAGGGTACCGTCAGCACCACTATGAGCTCGTCGACGGGCCGCGAGTCGGCAGCGACTCACGTCACAGAAGCGCCCACCTTTTCCAAGAAGATTGTTGTTGTCGGTGATGGTGGTTGCGGCAAGACCTGCTTGCTCATTAGCTACAGCCAAGGTTACTTCCCAGAGGTAAGCAGCTCTCTCTAGCTACTCTCAGTGTACCGACACTAACAATCACAGAAATATGTGCCTACTGTCTTTGAAAACTACATCACCTATCCTATCCACTCAGCCACTGGTAAGACTGTGGAACTTGCATTGTGGGATACAGCCGGCCAAGAGGAATATGACCGTCTCCGACCGCTTTCATACCCTGAGACCGACTTGATCTTTGTATGCTTTGCTATCGACTGTCCGAACTCGCTAGACAACGTCCTTGATAAGGTATGACCATATCCCTTCTCAGCGCATCTTATACTAATCACCCTTCTATAGTGGTACCCCGAGGTTCTACACTTCTGCCCATACACTCCTCTGGTTCTTGTGGGTCTCAAGTCAGATCTTCGCTACAAGAAGACTTGCATTGATATGCTCAAGACGCAAGGTCTTACTCCAGTCACTACGGAGCAAGGCATGGCCGTTGCTAAGAAGATGAACGCGCAGTACATGGAGTGCAGTAGCAAGGAAATGTCAGGCGTCGACGAGATTTTTGAGCAGGCTATCAACACTGTCGTCGCTAATGACCGGAAAACCATCGAGGCGGCAGCAGCCTCAGGTTCTTCCAAGGAGAGCAAGTCATCAACACCTGGGGTGGGACAGATTAAGAGGAAGAAGAGAAGGTGTCCAATCCTCTAAAGGCGCTCACAGCCAGAGATGGATGAAAGATTGTTTTCTTGGATTGAGGAACTTTTCTACTCATCATTGTCTTGCAAAGCCTCCCTTGTCATCTTCTCCTGGGGAGGGGAGGCCAGGAGGGCCACATAAAGAAAAGGCAGCTCGATGGGCCAGCATTAAAAGAGTTGTAATGACCATCGCATGAACATTGTTTCTTATAACGATTCACATTTACGTTATTTCTTTACCTTCATTGCTGTTTTAACACTGATAAAGGAACTCACTCGTGGTAGGTAAACAGGCCCAGAGAGAGGACATCGCAGGCGTTCACCTACACAAGAGATGTATCTCGGAGGGATAGGGGACATAGTTCGGGATCGAAAGTATGGCATGGCATGGGAGGAAGCGCGCACATTTGTATTTGCTTTTTTTATATATCTGAAAGTGACTTATGAGATAGGGGAGCAACTAGAGTTGCAGGCTGTTTTTTATATGTATCCTACCGTTGGCACCAGGCAAGTTGAGGTGCCGGGTGTTTTGATGGCCTTCCTTTTGTTAGTGTTTTGGCGCGCGGTTGTACTGAGTTGATAGGATTGCTGGAATCAAAGTTTACAACTAAATGAGTGTGTTGCCTTGGCTGTGATGTATGTTATTGATGACTCCTGTAGTAGATTTGTCAGTTGAGTATCAGCTAAGTGAATAAACACTGAGTTATAGTTTCGAATGCAAACTTCGGCCTGTGAACCCTGATTAATAAATCTTCGCCACAACGGCACCGGTGAGATTAACAGTCAGTTCATAATCTCTTTCTTTCTAGGTTTCTTTCACCATTCTATGACCACATTGTGAATAACTTTTGCACAGGCCCGCTTCACATGCTTCATCATCGTAGCTGAGTTACCAGCTTAGGTATTCATTTTTACCTCTGGACATCATGGATCATGACCTGAAAAGACCCTCTTAGGTCGACTATACCGCCCAGTTGCCCCCACTGTTATACAAGTACGTCTTGTTATTTATGTACAAATGTCTCAGCTCTTTTGAAACTTTTCTCCTGTCCAAGCATCTGTAACCATCATACAAGTTGAAAAATGACCATCATGAGGGGAGCATTATACATAGAGCCAACGCCAACCGATATAACCTCGTCTAAAAGTACACGCAAGATGCGATTGAGTGTGGAGATGTCATCAAAACACACATCTCCGTCATTATGGAAGAACGATTTACTTATTTGTTCTTGACAACACCGACCTTGGCGGCGCGCAGCACCCGGCCGTTAAGCTTGAAGCCCTTCTGTTGAACGAAGAAAACAGTGCCGTCTTCCTTATCGGGCTGGGGAGTCATAAAAGTGGCCTCCTGCTCGTTGGGATTGAACTTCTCGCCCTCGGGATTGAGTCGCTCGAGACCATGCTTCTTGAGGGTGTTCATGAGGATATCTTCGGTCATCTTGAGACCCTCATACAGGTTGGCGAGATCCTCGAGGCCCTCAGGTCGGTCTGGGGCGTTGAGCTTATCCTTGGGAACCATTCCAAGGGCGCGGTCGAGGTTGTCGACGCTGTCGACGAGATCCTTGGCGAATTTTTGGATGGCAAAATCTTTGGCGGCCTTGACCTCACGTGTGGTGCGCTCTTGGAGATTGCGGAAATCGGCGACGGTGCGCATACACTTATCCTACAAGAGAGTCAGTTTTCCCATGTCAAATTGTACATTTAGTATCACAAACCTTCCAGTCCTTAACCTCGTTCTCCTTGGCTGCAAGCTCCTTCTTGAGCTCAGCGAGAGGATCGCTCTCTTTCTCGCCCTCAGCGGGCTTTTCCTCCGTTTTGGCCTCCTCAGCAGGCTTGGCCTCAGTCTCCTTAGCGTCACTGTACCATCTCGACACGGCGGGCTGAACGGATCTAAGAGCAAAGGCGGGCGCAGCCTGGAATTGCGACTGAATGAAAAGTCGGGGGACGGCGATCTTGGGAGCAGCTCGCAGAGCGCGGGATGAGGTAGCAATGGCCTGGCGGAACATTGTGAGGTATATGAGGAATTATATTATAGATTTTGGTAGGAACAAAGTAAATGACGAGGAAGACTCGACGGAGATAGGCTGATGCACTTAAGTAAGTGTACAGTGGCTGTGGTGGGTAGGTATCAGGAAGTTTGGAAGCTCCGAGTTAGGACTGAAATTTTAGCTGTCGGCATGATTGATTCGCTTCGCATTTAGAAGGGTCGCGCCGGCTTCTCTCCCGGGGACGGGAAGCTTCCATTCGGCGGGCAATAGCAGGGCAAGGGCCACATCTAGGATCAGATACGTACCTACCTGGAAGTATACGCGGATCAACAAAAGCCCGTCACTGCATCATTGATCCAATTGCTGCCCCAGGCTGTTTCCTCCCATGAGGCTGTAGGATCCACTCTTTTACCGGCCTACGTCGTGCTCTGGCAACCTGGAGGCTAAGGTTAGGTAGCTGTTCGCTATGCTATTGCTTCAACATACCTCTAACTAAACACCTTCAAGATAACGACCACTACTCTTCAGCGCCACCAACGTCTCGTCTCCGCCTTAATAGCGCATAACGTATCACCCACGATCATATCCAGCGACACGCGCAAACACATCCTTCACAATGGCGGCGGCCGAATCGGCGAGGGTCCAGGAAGCGCAGAAGCTCGCCAAGTCTGACCCTCGAAAGGCTGAGGCCATCTACAAGGACATCATCTCCAAGGCTCCCAGCACCACATCCGATGCTGCTACTCGCGAGTACGAGACTGCTCTGATCAGCTTAGGAGAGCTGTATCGAGACGAGAAGTGCGCACTCTTCAACACCGCTGTTCCTGTGCCCCGCTAACAAATACGACAGGAATACCCAAGAGTTGGTGACCCTGGTCAAGGAGAGCAGAACGGTCTTCTCTTCTTTCGCAAAGGCCAAGTCAGCAAAGCTTGGTATGTTCTCAACACCACATGATCCTGCCTCGAAGTGTAACAGCTAGCTAACGCGGTGATGTAGTCCGCCAACTGCTCGACCTCATCAAGGAAATCCCCGATAGCACCGATATCGAAATCTCCGTCACCAAGGACTGTATAGAATGGGCCACCGCCGAGCGCCGCGCGTTTCAGCGACAGGACCTCGAGGTCCGCCTTGTCACTCTCCAGATGGCAAAGCAATCCTACTACGAAGCCCTCGGTCTCATTAACAACCTTCTTCGCGAGCTCAAGCGTCTCGATGACAAGCTCCGACTCGTCGAAGTCCAGCTCCTCGAGTCGAGAGTTTACCACGCCCTTGGCAACATCCCCAAGTCCCGTGCCGCTCTTACCAGTGCACGAACAAGCGCCGCCAGCGTATATACCCCTCCGATGCTACAGGCTAACCTCGACATGCAGAGCGGTATGCTTCATGCTGAGGACAAGGACTTCAACACCGCTTTCTCCTACTTCATTGAGGCTCTCGATGGCTACCACTCTCAAGATGAGAGCACCCGAGCTCAGGCTGCTCTTCAGTACATGCTTCTTTGCAAGATCATGCTAAACCTCGTTGACGATGTCAACAACTTGATGACTTCCAAGCAAGCCCTGAAGTACGCTGGCAAGAACCTAGAGGCCATGAAGGCCATTGCTCGCGCACATTCGAATCGATCATTGGAGGAGTATGAGCGAGCACTTTCTTCTTACCGATATGAGCTCGGTAGCGACGCTTTCATCCGCAACCACCTTCGCCGCCTATATGATGCTATGTTGGAGCAGAACCTCATCAAAGTCATCGAGCCTTTCTCACGCGTCGAAATCGACCACATTGCCAAGATGGTTGGCCTTGACACCCAGCAGGTTGAGCGAAAACTGTCTCAGATGATCTTGGACAAGGTTATTATCGGTGTTTTGGACCAGGGCGCTGGTTGTCTCATCATCTTTGACGAGACGCACCGAGATGAGTCCTATGATGCGGCTCTGGCAACAATCGAGAAACTGAGCAGTGTGGTGGATGTACTTTACACGAACCAAGCTTCCATGCTGGAATAGATTAGCAATGAGAGGCACATTAGTTGTTGTATGTAATATATCACACGCTTTTAGACCAGGCGTTTCAAGAGGGAACAGAATCGTCTATGCTGAGCGGCACATACATGCATTCATTTGCTTGCACAACCATATCTGAAACGAATAACCAAAACTATATATATGCTGATGCCCCCAACAGACTGCGCTGCAAGACAGGGGTATGTAATCATATGCAAAGAAAGCATAAAGGATACAACAAGCGGTATCTGGTATCTCCAAACAACAATAACAGCCACCTACTCATGAAACAGAACGCCTCATGAAATGCTAACTATGCCATATTCGTGATTCTATACAAAAAAAAAAAAAAAACCTTTTATAAAAACAGGATTCTTTCATGTCGTTTAGTGAAACATAACTCGCGCTGGTTTACCAGCTCCTCGGCTCCTCTTCTCTTCGCCCAGAATTAAGGCAAATAATCTTTTGACTAGTGCAGCCTCATCCCAGCCGCCGACTTGTGCTTTGAAAGCGTCGACGCAGTCCAAGTGCCAACGCTCCAGCGTCATTGACTCCCCTTGGCTTGCGACCGTCTTTCCAAGATATTGGTCTGAATAGCGTTCAAAATGAAGCCTGAAGGGGCCCTGACGTCGCTGTTGAAGAAGATCATCCAAGAGCAGCCAGTGTCTTCGTGTCCAGACCGTTTGGGAGAGTGGTTCAGTGTGGGTTTGTTTTGTTGGGAGTTTCTCGTTATATATAGGAATTTGCGGGATGGTGTTATTCTCCTTGTTAGCAGTTTGATGCGGCAGTGCTCTTACACGAGGACGCTGGGCACCTGTGCTTGACTGAGATGCTGCTGAGGAGTTGGATAGTCGACGTTGGTGTCGAACCTTGGCTTGCTCGATGGGAGATAGGACGCTGCTGGTAAACTCAACCACACGGCCGGGAGTGTGAGGTTTAAGTGGCGAACGAAGACTTGATTTGATCGGGGAAGCGTTCTTGGGAGGTAATGGACGAAGGAGAGTGCTAGCTGTGGATCGCTCAGGGGAATCTTCACTTGCATTGGATGTTTGCTGCTGCCACTTTTGTATATCGGCGTGAGTGAGCTGCATCCTCGGTGGAGTGGTGGCACTACTACTCAGGATGGGGGCAGGGTCAGGGGCAGCAGCCTGAGTTGAAGCCTTGAAGAAACTTTGACTAGGATTTCTCCGCTGCGGAGTAAAGTTCATCTTCTGAGGCACTGAAGGCAGTGACTCGGATACTTGATCTTCGCCTTCTTCTTCTTCAAGTACCTCTGTGCCCTCCTCGTCGAGCTCTTCCTGCTGTTCGCCGTCATTTTGTTGCTCAGATGTTTCCTGTATAGAAGCGTCGCGCTCGTCTTGTCTTGGGGAAGCCGTTGCCTGTCGACTTGGCGATGACATGTTCGACCGTGAATCTGATCGAGAATATTCATCATTTTCAGGTTCTTCAGACAGGCCTCGCCTCGCCAGGGGCTGGACAGGGCGTATAGGAGAGAAGAAGCCTGCCCTTGGCTGTCCTCGAGGTACAAGCTCCTGTTGTGGCAACTGTGGGAACATGGAGCTTGTCGGGAGGGTGTGAGCTGTCTCCATCGGCTGAGGCTCAGCCTCAGTGGGTCGCGCTCCAAAGACGGACATCTTCTTAAGAGGAGAGAGCTTGTCAGCCAACATGCCTGGGATCGCGGCCGGTGAAGAGAAGAAAGTCGAGAGGTCGAAACGGTTCGCTTTGGCGGTAGCAGGAGCCTTATCAGATTCTTGAGGAACCTCCCTTTGAGTAACAAGAGAATACTCCTCTGCTTGAGATGGTTCATCCTGCGCAACATCCATGTTATCAGGTTGAGGCGCGGTCTCTTCTTCCAGGTGTTCTTCATTCTCTTCCAGTTCATTCCTTGTCTGATCTGCAGTCGTTGGAGGCCGTTGCGTTCCCCTGTTGGTCTGCCTCCTCCAAGGGCTTGGGAGAGTGCTTCGTCTGGGGATAGGTGATTCGGGTTTCCTCGCTGGTAAAGGCTGACGGGCTGCATGAGGGCTAGACCTTTGGGCCTCAAACTCCCACAGATCCATGTCATCACCGGCATCTTCAGTTTCGTCGTCTGCGTCATCCACCGTTCCGTCCAATTGGCCATGAGATATGGACTGTGGCTCGGGAGGTCTGGCTGTTGATCTTGCAAAAGCCTCAAGGGGTACATCTCCTCTGAGGTTGTCGCTTATAGGACCTTCTCTATCAACCCAACTCATTTCACCCTCACTGGGAGCCTGGAAATGCGTAGAGCTTGCTGCAGATTCCCTGGACATTGTTCGGCGATGGCGTGGTGACGAACCAGCACTTCTCCTCTCAAGAGCTTCCATAAAGCTAGCTTGGCCTGTATGTCTGGTGTTTGTTCCAAAGGGGTCGTCATAAACTTCATCGCCTTTGGGGATCTGGGCAGTTTCGGTGAATGGACGGGACTTCCCAGGACTCGCGTTCGTCCGTAGATTTGGCTGAGTTACCCTTGGACCCAGCTCTCTAGAAGCAGATCGCCTGAAAGGGCTTCGCAAATGATGGTCGCGGGCCTCCGGTGTTGGAGGATCCGAGGTCACGCTCTGCAAAGCTCTCCCGGCCCTCATAATGGGGGACAATGTAGGACGTCTGACTCTCTCTGGTGGCACATCAGGCAACGATTGAGGTTCCTGGATAGGCGATGTAAGTTGATTTAGTGGCGTGACTTCTGGCTGCTGCATTTCGGCCTCTAAGGACAAACGGGGTTGCTGAGGTACAACGATTTCAGGAATCTCTTGGGCCTCTTCAGGTTCCTCTTCGACCAGGTCTTCCATAATGGTCTCTTCCAAGGGCTGGTCATCTGGAACAGAATGGTCATCAGGTTCAGGCATAATAGTCATATCCATGATAGGTTCATCATCGTTGTCGGCTAGTTCTTCGACTTCGACAATAGCCCCGTTGGTGACTTGCCCGGTAGTTTCAACAGCTTGATCAACAACTTCGTCTTCAATCTCTATAGTTTCAGGTGGTACCTGGGCTTGGGTGGCGGGCGCCGGTGATGAATTCCTCGGCGGTGAGTCTCTGGAAGATGCAGACCTAGCTGGACTCTGCGATACGCTTGTTGACTTCGGGGCAGTATTGTTTCCAAAATCGATATTTGGAGGGGTGTCGTCAGGGGTGGGGAGACGCCCGCCATCCGAACGAGAGATAACGCTTCCAACCGAAGCTGCTGGAGGTTCAGCCTCCTGTTGTTCTTGCTCTTCGACTGACTCTTGATCTTCGACTGCCTCCTGTTCTGCTTCTGCACCTTGTTCTTCAACCACTTGCTCTTGTTGCTGTATCTCTGCTTGCTGGGGCTCATCTTCAAACTGGATAAGGTCCGCATCCCCCATTTCAACATCCTCAGTCTCTGATGGTGCTTTCTTGGCCATGGCTCGAGGGCGGCGGGGAGTGGCTGCCTCAAGTACTGCATCAGGTATCTCTGAGAACGAGTCGTCGTACAAGTTTGAATTATCGATTTCGAGATGTGAGGAGTCTTGTCGTTGTGTTGCCAGAGGAGATCCGCGATATTCAGCATCCGGATTGTCTCGCGCGTTTGACTGCAACACTTGCCGTCGCAATGGAGAAGAGCCCATTCTTCGCGGAGTCTGACGCCATATGGAAGATAAGTTGCGGTTAGGTGAAAAGGTCATGGGTGGACGAATAGTAGATTGTCGGAGTTCATCTCGAGGCTCAGCGGGAGCGGGTGCGGATGGTTGGGGCTCCTTGTCCTGCTCAGCGGTTTCCTTGTTCACATTAGGTCTGTCGCGATCCTGCAGAGACTGCCGTAGAGACTCCAAAGTGTTGTTAATAATTAGGCTGGTTTCCTCGCCAATGTCGTTTTCGGCGATCTCTCGAACAGAGCTGCGCATACTGGCTTGTAGCGAGGGGAGCGAGTCCATGAATATCATGCTAAAGTCTTCACCCGCTGCGACCGTATCTTCGTTCCCAGGACGGGTGTCGCTTTGAGGTTCGTCTGCAGAAGATACGTCGCTTCCAGCTGGTCCAAAGCCATAATCTCCAAAATCTGAGGAGTCATCTGCTCGTCCATGATCTGGACTTGAAGGAGCAGGCGCATTTTGGGTTGCGCGACTCCCCGGCCGCGGCGTTGGTTCATCGTCTAATGTTGCCATCCAAATATCTGAGTCGGGTTCCGATTGCTGAGCAGGCGCGCTAATATTCGCGGTTCGGTTTGCGCGTAATTGATTTGCTTCAGCTTCTGACGGCGTAATGACCAGAGTTACATCGTTGTCGGCTTGTGAGTCGTCGGCGCGGAGAGAGGGCAGGTCGGATGCATCGCCAGCAACCTCAATCTTATCAAGAGCTTGACTTTCTGATCTGTCACTCGTTTCTGAAATCCCCCTCGCGTTTTGTTCGTCTTCTGTGGCATTTGGTGGGTCAACAGGACGGTTCTTCGGTGGTCGACCTCGTCTTTTTGTTCCTGGTGTTGGCTGCGCATTACTGTCTGCCGATTTATTTGGTGTATCTGTATCTTTTGTCGTGCGTTGTCTTCTCCGGGGGCTTCCATGCATCGGTGTTATTGACTTTCTCTTGGTGCCTGCACTGGGTAGCGGTGTGCCATTTGTTTTTCTCGGTCGTCCTCGTTTCCTAGGAGTCGCGTTGTTATCGTCCTCGATCGCCCCCTTTAGCGGCACAGTCGTCGTGGTCGTCGCCATTTCTCTGCGTCGCGATATCGGTAGGTAAGGGCTGTCTTGGAATAGTTTTCGTCGCGCGCTGCTGGGGCCTGCAGTCGCGCTTGGTTCCTCTGTCTCGACCGTAACTAGTAATTTCTGGGGCGCTTTATTATCTCCAACCTCGAGTTCGAAAGTCTGTTTCCTAGGAGAGGTTCCTAAGCCCATGGAAGAGAAGCGGCTGGACCGTTGGCTGCTGCGGACGACACGGCGCGTGGATGGAGGGGGCATGACACTTTGTTCAACGGTATCGTTTAGAGGATCGGGTGACGACATAATATCCGCGCTGGGTGTGTTCATATCGGCAAAAGAATGCCAGCGAACAGCAAAAGAGTCGTTGTCAACGCCTAAACTTTTGCGTTTTGGCATTGACGAATGGTGGTTTCGTTAATCATTCATGGAATGTAAAATGCCAAATTCAAAATAGTCATGGTATATGCAAACACTACCGTCCCTCCGTTGCAAAGCCAAAACCAACCCGCGGTGTGCTTGTGCTTTATTGGATTTTGACAGGGATAGACGTGGCGGCATGGGTCCAGTGTTTACTTTAGCCCCAATGAGGCAAGTGGAGACAAAAGCGTGAACTTTGCCCGCATCTTCTGTTTCTCCTTGACTCCGTGGCTTGAATCTTCGACTGTTGTCTTGTGCCCCAATTGGGACTAGCGCCAAACGGTAAAGATCTCAAGTCACCGGCCCAAGGCATTGTCCCTTTTCCCCACATCACATGCAGGGAAGTGACCTCATTTTCAGATGCGGAACAGAGGCCGACTTTTAGGGAAGTTTTACTCGGTATCAACTCCCGTCCCGACCTCGGTACGGTATATTTAGGGAGAGGGACCTACCTGAGATACCTAGGCCTTACAGTAGACGTCCTCTAGCTCTCGAGTCAAGTCATTGCCGATCCCGAGATACAAGTCTCCCTCCAATACCTTTCCTTACAAGCTTTAAATACTGTATCTGGGCTCCTGTAATCGAACACGGCCCCGCGCGACTTGTAAGTTTTCCTTCCCCAGGTTTTTAATTACTGTTCATTCCCCATCAATTCAATTCGATCCATTTCTGTCCTACATAAAAATCGCTTACACGCGCCTCGCTTAAGCTTAAACTTGTATACTACATCAACCATTTACAAACGGCATCATGTCAGACAACGCCGAAAAGGAGACCACTCCTCAGATCGATACGCCTGTGACAAAGGTCGAGATTACTCCTAACAAGGTCGAAATCAGCACGGCGCCCGAGACTCAAGCAATCCCTCAGAATGACAATGTCGCTCACGCTCTTGCTGGCGCTGGAGGTGGTCTTCTGTCCATGATCCTGACGTAAGGCTTGCGAATACCCCAATGACGCATTACAGTGCGCTGATGACATCTCAAGCTACCCTCTCATCACCCTCTCAACACGCGCTCAGGTCGAGTCTAAGAAGGCCGAGAGCAAGTTCAGCGAGGCTGTTGGCAACATCATCGCCCGTGAGGGTATCTCTGGTCTCTACTCCGGTATTAACTCGGCCCTCTTCGGCATCAGCGTCACCAACTTTGTCTACTACTACTGGTACGAATGGACTCGCGGTTTCTTCGAGAAGGCTGCTGCTAAGGCTGGTCGCGCTGGCGCCAAGCTCACCACCGTTGAGTCCATGATTGCTGGTGCTATCGCTGGTTCGGCCACCGTCATCATCACCAACCCTATCTGGGTCGTCAACACCCGAGTCACCACTCGCCAGCAGGAGAAGAAGCAGGATGTCGAGGCTGGCGAGTCTAAGCCTGCCAAGGCTCCCAGCACCATCGGCACTCTGCTGCTGCTCCTCAAGAACGAGGGTCCTCAGGCTCTCTTCTCTGGTGTCATCCCAGCTCTTGTCCTCGTTATCAACCCTATTCTTCAGTACACTCTCTTTGAGCAACTCAAGAACACAGTTGAGAAGCGTCGCAAGGTGACTCCTACTATCGCCTTCTTCCTCGGCGCCCTGGGCAAGCTGTTTGCTACTGCCATCACCTACCCTTACATCACCGTCAAGTCTCAGATGCACGTCCAGGGCAGCGGTAAGAAGGAGGGTTCCCTTAGCGCTCTTTCTCGCATCGTCCGTGAGAGCGGTTACTCTGGTCTCTACCGAGGTAAAATATCAAGTCACCATCTGATTTAGCAATTCACTGACTCTCATCAACAGGTATCGGCCCTAAAGTCACCCAGAGCGTCCTCACTGCTGCGCTCCTCTTTGCCTTCAAGGACGTTCTCTATGAGCAGACCGTTCGTCTCCGAATGGCCCAGGCCGCTCGCCGACGTGTCGCCGCTTAAGCTAGCTTAAGCACTGGTCCCACTAGACCTGTCTTTCTTATCAGAACCAGGATTGAAGATCCCCAATTATTCTCGGTATCTCATTCCGATTACCGAAAAGCATTTGCGGTGAGGATGCGTTCGGTTTGTTATTGAAATTGGCACAATGGAAATGGCGTTGTATCTTATATACCTAGTATTAGTTCATGTTCTGTTTGATGTTTGAAACCAGGGCTGGTAACCAGGAATATTGGAAGAGGGTGTTGCTCTCATCTGGATACCCGAATACTCTAAGGCGGCTTTGATGTAACAATTCAATTTAAGCTCATTTTGTCATTATACATGGATTTCCTTCAATAAGCTTCAGACAGGAACCAGACGAGGTACAATCCACCAGTCATGATAACACTTATCAGGAGTTGGCACCTCAGCTCTGAGCTTCAGATTACTCGCATCTTCCTTTGATGCCTTCAGCACAGCCGTAATCGCGAGCCCTGTTGCAATACATGCTTTGAGCGCGTTCTTCTTTGAAGTCTGCCATTTATCGTGAGAACCGACTGAGAACGAATCTGCCGCAGACAACTTGCTCAGAACCTCAAGCCCTTGCTTTGCACCCTTCAGAGCTCTTTCTGCATATTGAAGAATATCCACCGTGGACGATTCTGGTTGCGTGGTTCCGAGAATAAACTCTGGGAACCCCGGGCAAGGCGGTAGACCAATAACGGCGAATGGTCTCATCCGCAGCTCAAAGCGGAGTTCGTCGTTACTATACGGTCGCGGAGGTACCTTGACTAACTCGAGCCGCATGAGAGCTGTGTAAAGACATGATAGCGCATCTGACAATTCCCATGTGACAGCGGCATCGAGAAGCATAAGCCGAATAAAGGCAAGGGATCGCTCAAGTTGGCGATCAACTGAAGGATTTCGCGGTTGAGAAGGTGCGCGAGATTCCTCGACTCTTCGAACAATGAAGGACTTGAGCCTTTCTGTATGCTGAACTCTCCATTTGGCTAGGTAGTTGAGATACCAATACATACCGGCAAGTTCGTCTGGCTGATAGACTTCCAACTCGAAACCAAGTTGTACAATCCATTCCATCTGGCGAATCTTGTATAAGTACGTCCAGGACGATAGTGGGAGGGAGTAGGTGTCGACTGGTTGAGAATTTGCTCCTGTGAAATGCCTCATTGGCTTCTCGTTTAACTTGACCTGGATAATTTGATCAATCTCTTCAGCATCGAGCTGGAGATTATCCCAGTCCCTGATGATGTGGCAGAGCGTGCGCCGGACACGACACCTGTTCTGACAAAAGGTCCTGAAGATGTCGAGAAACGATTGAGCCGCTCTTTGTCGAAACAGTTCCATTTGTTGCGCAACAATGAATCGCGGATCTTGGGGGAATTCGATCTCGTCGTTGTTTCGATCAAGTTGGGCGCTGGCCGGCATCGACACGATAGAAAAGTCATCATCCATAATCTGCCGAATGCTCATTGAGCCTAGAACTTCCATCTCGTTAAAGAGGAAAGTCTGAAGTAGAGTCCGTACGAAAACCAGTGGTTGAGGCTTCTTGGCTTGAAACTGCAAGACGAAGTTCTAAAAATGTTTAGTGTTGACATTCTCTGAAGAACAATCCAATGCTTACTTGTAGACATTGGGAGTCGGTATAGTTTAGCACATCAATCAATTCAACACCATCCGTGAACAGCCTTGAAAGATGACCAAATGCATCCTCGAATTTTAACTGCACAATCGGTCTAGGGGGCATAGTGCTAGCAAGCTTTCGTTGGAGCTTGGCACTGAAGGCCTCGTCGACTGGTTTTCCCAAGGTGTGAGATGACTTGATGGCTGGAAGAACCTTGAGTCCTTCAAGCCATGGCTTTCGCGCAATCTCGGGCTCCTTCACGTGCTTGGGGCATTCTGCCGCTTCCAGAAAGTACAACCTTAGCTGCAGTCGTTGGTCAAGTGCTTCTCGAAGATCATCGCTGACGCCGGTAGATAATGTGATGAGTAGGTCTCTTGCTTCTTGGATAGCCTGCCGGATAGCCTGGGGTTGTATTTCAGCAAGTAAGGTGCGGCTGTATGTGTTTGTCACGAAATCTTCTTCCTTGAAAGTATGCGTCAGCCAAAAATAATCCATTTGCCATGACATCGGTTCACACTTACTTCATAGTAGTGTTCTGATCTAATCCGTTCATTGACATAACCGCAAGCTTTGAGCAAACCAAGACAGTACGCTCTCAATATTTTAAGCATGTCAGATTGTCCAGAAGAACCATATGAGCCGTTTCGAACGAAATGAGCGTCCTCGACAGTTCGTGGGGTGGGTGTCAGGAGCGCCTCAGCGTATACACTAGTGAATAGAGTCTGTGAAAGAGGATATCCCTGATGCCATGCCATCTGAGCAACATTATTAGTTTGTATAGTTGCTTTGCTACTGAAGCACTTACCTCGTGACAGAGAAGCTGGTCTATAATTCCCAGTACCTCTTCTGGGAGCAGTGGCCGCGCAACATCGTAAAGCTCTTCAAGCTCCTCTGCTGATTCAACACAGCCGCTGTCCATTTTAGGATCCATGATCTAAGTATATCAGTATTGAACCGAGCCAGCCTTCACGATAGACGAACCTCAAGCCCTGAAACGGACTCGAACAGAGTAAATGCCCCATCTTTAACAAGTTCACCGGGTGCAAGAGCTGGTCAGACTTCAGTCAACGGCGGGGTCATGAACGAAAGTCAGCGACACAGAACTTACTCTTGACGGCTTCTGAGAATTTATCTGTGATGTCCACTGCAACTATTCCCGCAGTCGCAATATCCGGAGGTGGCGGAGGTGGATACTCATATTGGCGATCAAGCGATATTCTCGCGATATCTGTGCTCCCAAAGTCAGATTTTGACGACATTGGCACGCGGGACCTAAGGGTAAGGCAGTATTGGGCACCCACCATCTTGAATTCCGTTGCCAATATCGTCCATATTGACTGAATGAAGCGACAAGTTATCGCATTAAATATTAATATTGCACGTTTGCGTGTTGGTGGTAGTGCGGAAATACAGCATTAGATGGATGTTTGATAGAAGATAATTGTGAGCAGGAAGGGAGATAGGACGGTATATCCAATTATGATGATGGGTCCACTGCTACGTACAATCATTGAATGATGTACTACCAAAATTGGCTATTATGTCAGTAAAATCAATCAAAAACCAAACTACAACAAAGTTTTACATTAGAAAAGAGGCGGAAGTCACGATTTCATAGCAACCTGGTCATGTGTGTTGATGCACATCGTTAGCGGAGCCGTAGCTACTCTTTCGGCTGTAGCCGGGTGTGACAGAAAGTTGAGATGCGGACGTCCCCCCGCGAGCATCACAATAGAAATCATTTACATCACAACATTGAGTCACCAGCAATTCCATTCTTGCCTCCAATTGCAGTCGTAGTTTTGAATTTGATTGATACATTGCAACAATCGTTATGGTACAGTGGCTCCAGGTGTATGCATCCGGCTGAGGAATAAGTCCATCTCATCTGAACCGAGCAACCCCTTCGAGCGCCACGCTTCTATTATCCCACGCGCAATCATTCCCAAATCGATCTGCTTAAGCAGCGTTCTCAGCGGCAATGGCGGCGTTGGCAGCGGCGAGGTTCTTGGGCTCACCCTGCTTACCGTTCTGTTGAGGTAATTATATGTTAGTCTGTGTCGCTTTTTTCGCTGTCTTTTCGGTTCCCGTATCGCCTTACCTGCCACTTGGAGAATCGCAAATCCATCTCGCCTCGGCGCTCGGCAGCGACTCTCTTGTCCTCCTTCAAGCTTCGGCGGACAACGCGGGCGGCGATGGCCAGGTAGCGGTTGTAGCTATCGAAACGCAATGTTAGCTTCTCGGTGTTTCGGTACGGTCGCTCGGCGGAAGATGTTGTAGTCGGCAGTATCTGGGGGTTCAATTGACGTACGTAAGACCAGCGGCTCTCCACGCAGCAGTCATTTTGGCGGTGTCGGAGGTTGAATTGGGAGGGATGGGTTTTGGTAGTTGGTGATGGCTACTGAATCTTTGCTCCGAATTACCGGGCAAAGGCAGAGCTAGTATCGCGGCCTTAGGCAGAACCTTGTCATGAGCCGGGAAACAGCCGAAACGGAAGACAGATCACGTGATTTGATCTTTCGCCATCTTAGTATAGCGGGAGGACCCTTGCGTTCCTGGATCTAACTAATTTCCTCCGTAAGGCTAATGGAATCCTTCCAAATTGAGACTCTCGATACTCATTCATAAGGCAACAGGCATTGTACCCCAATAGTAAACGCAATTACTTTCAATTACTTAGTCATGATGACCACGCATCCCGTTGAGCTTAAAATGAAACACTTATGCTTATCCCAGTAGTGCCTCTTCGCAATGGATGGCTGTCCAGCTTCACTTGCGGGGATCAATCAAATAAGCCGTGAGACACATCATCAAAAGCCAATGATAGCGGCATCGAATTAGCAGGGGCCTAGGTGTTCAGAGTCGGCCGCCCAATGAACTAAGACCATTGGCTGTGTGCTTATCTCGCAGCTTTTCAGCTCCTTCTCCTCATATAGTGTTGGTCTCTTCACTTTATTGACAATCCAAGCTCAATCAATTGTGCTCAAATGTCATACATTGCCTCTGCTCGACGCCGGCGACCGCAGGAGTTCTTCCTGCCAAATGGCAAGAAGATCATCGCCTCTCTACCCGAAGATCTCGAATCTTTACGTGAAGAACATGGAAAGCGAAATGATGTTCAGGTTGAAGTTGTCATCCACGGATCACCAGAACATTGCGACTATCTAAGAGAGACCCGAGATCACCATGAGAGTCGCCGTGCTCACTTTCGACAACGGCATGGCCCTGCCTTTGACGAGTGGGAAGATATGCAGAGTCAACTTGATATCGTCAACGGCCACCTGGAACGACTCTCTACCAACACGTCTGCTCTAAGTGCCAATTTCGACAAGTTTGGTTATGGTGCTGAACTGCGAACTTATGATGATGATGACCCCTCACCAGCTGCTGACCCCTCCAACATGTCAACTTCAGATACACTCTCAGTTGGTTCTGGTGGAGGTCAACCTCGACTAGGAGAAACCATCAAACTCTTTAAGAAACCAGTGGTCAAGCAATGGTTTCACAAGGGATTATTGTGGCGTGCTTCAGAAAACACCGAGATCATGGCCATTGAGCTGTTCTTTGATCTTCTTTATGGTAAGAAACCCAACTCTGTTGCGATAACAAATTCTCACCACTCGAAAAGTCGGTATCATCCATGTCAACGGCGAGCATGTCTGGGCTGAGCCGACCGGCAAAGAGCTGCTTCGCTTCGCAATCACGTTCATCATGTCATGGAAGATTTGGTCCGATATCACTCTGATCTTGAGTTGGTTTGAGACGGACGATGTCTTTACACGGCTTGAGATTCTGTTCGAGATTGCTTGTCTTCTGGGGTACGTCGGCAATAGACAACAGGAATCATCCATCTGACTTCTTAGGTTCTCGACCAACATGACATATGCATTTTATCCTGGCGAGCACAATACCTACACTATGCTGGTATCATTCTATGTCGCTGCCCGTTTCAGAGGTGTCTTCCACTTCTTGTACACTGGGTACCTGCTGCCAATGGTGCGAGGTGTTATGTTCTGTCAAGCTCTCAACATAATTGTGCCTGCAGCCCTATGGATTGCTAGTATTCATGTTGAGATGCCTTCTCGTCTGGGACTCATCTGGGTTGCCATCATCTTGGATATGTGCAGCCAGAGCATCCTCACTGGAATTTACCAATACGGCCGAAAGGCTGCTCATGACAAAAGGATTGTAAAGTATCTCTCGGGGATCTTCGAGTTCTTTCCAGCCGTCAATATTGAGCATCGTGTTGAACGAACCAATGCCTTTGTCTCACTGGTGTTTGGATACTCTGTCATGGGACCAATGTTTCAGAGTCATGGAGGATATACCGTTGATGTATTCTTGGGAAAGGCTGTTCTGGGTCTTTGCCAGGCGTTTGTGTTTAACTGGATCTATTTTGATGTCGATGGCAGCAACATCGACATCCATGCTATTCGACGCTCTGTGATATCCTGTAAGTTATACAGGCTATGGTAATGACCCCTTGCTAACCTACAAAGCGTCCGTATGGCACTACGCTCATCTCCCGTTCATCATGGGCTACATTCTCGCATCTGCCGGACTATCTAAGCTCGTCTGGGTCGCAGATACTCCGGATGCCAACCCTGAGCATCTTACGGAACACTATATCGAGCGTTCGGATCCTGAGATGGCTGACGGTATCCGGTACTTTTACTGCCAAGGCCTTGCTGTAGCCTTGTTCTTTATGGGAGTCATTTCAGTCACTCATGATCATCGCCATCCAGCAACTAGACGCCTTTCCAAGAAGACACGGTTGGCCAATAGACTTCTCGTCTGCCTCATCTTGTTTCTCTTGCCATTGGCTAAGAGCCTAAACTCGCTAAACCTGATATCCATCACTTTGGCTCTCTCTGTGTGGGTGTTGCTGCTGGAGTTGTTTGGCAAATCATGCCGCAACGACCCGTTCATTGGTGAGAAGCAGGGGTGCTCGGTGAGGTACAGGTGTAAGTGCAGTAAGAAGGATCTCGAGAATGCCAACTTGAATGAGAAGGAACAAATTCCATCGACTGAGGTGCTTGAGCTGGGACCCAGAGAGAAAACTGCGGTTCCTGATGTGCAAGAATAAGAACACCAATGGGTTATATGGAATATAATTTGGTGGTTAGCATTTATCCGGCCACAATTAACGAAAGTGTCTCTTGAAAAGCAGAAGGTCGGTTTCTATAACTAAAATATACGAACAGTCTATCACTAGTATCAATCTCATCCGAGGACCATATTCGTCCCAACAGTCTAGGATCCACCAGAAGCACCTCCCATGATGGCCATAGTCTGATGCATTCTTCGCCTATCCACTTCTTTCTTCATCATGGACACACAACTCACCACAGCTAGAATTTCCATCTCAATTGCCTCGTTTTTCCGATCCAACCACTCACGCAAATCAAGCATAAGCCGTCCACCATTTCCAGCAGAGCTCCTCCTAGAACCTTGAGTACGGAGTCCATCGCTACGCACGAATTGCCCAACCTTGCGTCTTCTCTCTTCCTGCTTCCCTCCTGCCACGGCCACTTTCATGACTTGGTCTAGAATGAGTAGACAATCGATTTCCTCGCCAACAGAGGCTTTTGCACTTCGACGTTCGGCGCGGGAACTATATCGCCATTCGAAAGTGCCGAGATGAGTGCGCATGATGGTGCTGCGAGTTAGAACACCTTTGCAGGTGATCTCGATCTCCTCTGCCTGGCCGTTCTGCGATCCATCCCCAACAAAACGGATCTTGGGAGGCTTGCCTGGACCAAAGCGGTATGTGGTCGTGCATAGAGCTGCTTGTGTAGGGTCGTTCGCCCTGGCAAGAAAGCAAGAGCCTGAGTTTCTTGTAGGCCGAATCGATACATACTCTGCATCATCGAGTTCTCCCGTTGCTGCGACATTGAAGACATAGATAGGATCTGGCTGAGGCGGTAGAGGAAGCCTAATAAGTGCAAACCCAGGAGCTTGGATCTGCAGTTGTTTTGTAGGATAAAATCCAGATGTTGAAGAGGACGATGCTGAGTCTCCGTTTTCATTGTTGTATAGCGTCGTATATTCTGGAAGGGAGTTTGTAGAAGACGTAGCTGGCGAGAGGCGTGATAGTTCTACAGCTTCAGTAGTCTCGTAGTCAGGAGGTGGAGCTAAGTGTCCAGAGGGACGATGGCCGAGTTCGAAGGATGAAGTTGTCATTGTCTCAGTCTTTGTAGACATGGTTCTATAACAGTGGTCTTGGCAAGAGTATTTTGAATACCTGATTCTTTGAATGTAGCTTGGTGATGCTGATAAGTCGTTGGTGTAAGTCTTACTATGATGCTCGCTTTCAAACTTCTTCCAACTTGAAGGCGGACAGAGGACCTATATATACCCACGACCTTATATGATCTACCTCTTTATCCCGAGATCTTCAATTGGCTATTTGCCAAACCCGAAGAATACGGCACTACTGGTTGCTTAATGACGGGGACAGCCCAAGGCATCCTTCAGCCCTGTGAGGGTTGCCCCAAAACATGATTGGCTTATATGATGATCATCCCCCCACGCCCGACCCAATCGCATGGAATACGATGAATGCGAGATTCAATAGTGGGGGCTTTGCTGGGGCAGTGCCGAGACTAGCACCGGGAACGACACTTGAGACCTTGAGTCGGTTTGGGGGCTAAAAACGACATTTCAAGAGCCTCCTAAGCTTGTGATGACTTTACCTAGGATTTGAGTCGTCTAGAATAGAGAGCTTCCTAAATTAATCATGAATTTCCTTATCTGAAGGGAAAGTCCTGACTTGACCGTAAGGAGTTTGGCAGGTGACAATTACATAGAACCAAAGTGAGTTATCGGCTCTTCGTTCCCTTCCTTCACGCTCTCCTCTTCGGTGTCTGTCCCTCTTTGAGTCTTCTGCTCTTGTTCCTTTCGCGGCCATGGTCAAAGACCTTGAAGGGGTCTATCATCCAAGATGATATTCACGTTTTCCTCAGGGGAACGTAACTTGAAACGGTAGACAACACTCTCGTCGCTTGAGCTGTCAAATCCATGGACACGATATATTTTCTCTACTGGAAGATTTTCAGTTCGAAATCTTGCAACAACCTGCATGCTGAATGACAAGATCTTCAGCTTCGCCGGGCATTGAGGACCGGTAAGAGTGCAGTTGCACATATAGTACCAGATGCTACCTCTCTTGCAATGAAAATGCTCGAGAGAGTCTTACTGTGTCTGCACACTATCTTGAGACACGTACAGTCCTTCTTGCATCAAGACCACGATATCTTGAGTCAAGGCATCAGGCTGTGCGTACCAATCAACGTTCAGATCAACTGTCCATACATGTGACTATCAGACATAACAACAGCAAAAGTTGAGTCCGTTTACAATATGAGTCATGAAGAGGCCTTGCATGAAGGGCATTGAGATATCCAAACTTCAGTCACCTGTTGATATACCGAATAACTGAGGATAACCCGATAATCAAGCCCTTCCAAAGAAGGTAATATCATGATCCAACTGTTCCTCCACCCACATCGGCCACTGATTATAAATCTGGTGCTCAAGGTCGATATTAGCATTAATATGTTTAAGCCATCGGGCAAAACCAGGATCAAGTTGTGGCTGGCCATCTCTCTGTGGAGGATACTTTTCAGATACGTTTCGTTCTTGCCCAGTGATAGGAGACATGATCTCGTTGATGGCGACCCAATGTGAGTGAAGCAGCATCATGACCTGGTTATCGGGATCAATGAGAGCTTGGAAGGTGTCGTGTGGAAGTAACATCCACCAGCCGTATTGTGATGTGTATGCTTTATATGCTAGACCCAGTTAGCTGGGTGCCAGTGTTGTATGATCAGAGACTTACCATCCCACGAGTTGATGTAGAGCTTTTCGACCATTTTGACGAGATGGTGATGATACTCAACCTCGACTGGCTGCGTACACAGTGGCTTGAGATTCGTAAGAGCCTCCATCGCAGAGTCTGTATAGCCCTTTGGAATTAGTGGGAGGCCCTGCATTAGGGGTTCAAGTAAGGCATCCTGATCCGGCTCCATCATATTTTCAAATATCGGTTTTATACCTCGGAACAACATTTGCATTCCCACAATCATGATACCACGGATGAAGGTCAGATACTCCGCCAATCCATCATCCAAGCTCACGGACTGAAATGTAAGAGCGTAACAGGTAGCTACCATAGCGTTCGCTTCCTCATAGTCCATTGAGCTTCTGGCAGTCTCAGCCAGACGCTTCTTGATTGCTCTTATTGCCTTGATACGGTGGTTCATGGCTGACGAAACAATACTGGCGTCATTCCTCATAAGTTCAGATGCCGAGAAACCGAGGATTGCGTGCATAAGGTATTCATGCTAGACCGATCAGTAACTGCCTTGTTTCCTTTACTTGATGGGGATCCATACGTTGTGGGCAATGCATGGGATCTCATGGGTCCAGATATCCTCTTGCTTCAAGGGATGATGAGGGTAGCATTGCGTCAGAAAGTGCTGGAAGAAGCGCATATCCTGGAGACTGAATAGAGGAATCTGGTGATGCGGCTAGATACACGATCGTCAGTTGATACAGTTGTTAAGCCTTGTCTCTTACGCACCTGATGTGTGATCTGAGGCATAGATGGATACTCGCACTTCAGGCCCGTCTTGGTGCAGTGGCCACACGCAGGCCGAGTCTCCTGGCACTTCCTGGTCTTAGCCAGTCCATCGAACTAGATCTTTGGGTCTACATACCTTGATACGCCTTCTCTTGCAGTTGTAACAACCTCTTCGACTCTTGGTATGGCCTCTTCGCTCAAGTCTTTGTTTCTGAGCAGAAGGTCGAGCAACCAGTTCACTACTAGACCCTGATGTTGTGCTTGGTGGGGTAGCTTTGTCTGAGGAATCTGATGGTACTTGCTGTTGGGTCTGGGCACCCTCGCCAAACGTGATATCGTCAGCTTGGAGAAAGGCGGCGTAATCAAACTCGGGCTGATCGGTGAATGACAGCATTCCCGGAGTGAATTGTTGATTTATGTCCATGATGTGATTGCTTTCTAGTGTGGACTGGTTGTAATTCAGCTAGCTCCTTGAAGCTCTTATAGATTGCCCGTGGCAGAAGCGATCAGAGTAGAAGTAATGATACTCGGCGGCAGCTTTTTGTCCTCATGTATCTAAATCGTCGTATAGCATATATGTTTCGTGTTTAAGAGGTTGAAGTTTTATAAGCATGCCAAAGAACTCACGAGGCATCAAGAGCTGGATAGCTTCCTCATCCCAACACGAGCGAATCAGCGTGTTACAATGTCACGTGTTAAAGCTGGTAGTGGACGATCCTATCAAGTGGCTTGAGCCCTGCCACAACTCGCTGAACATGTTGTTCTATCATTCGCTGTAGTGGCAGTTTATCCCTAACTAACAGGGCGGGATGACGGGTCATCATTCCGCCGCTTCTCGCACTATCATCCCAATTTGGGCTTCGGTGTTGCTAGGCGGTTTTTCAGATTGATAGTTATCAGTTGCGGCTATGTCGTGACTTTATATGGATTTTGGATATTGGCTTCATGGAAGAGGCTGTGTTGACCTCCACTGATTTACTGACCAACAGGCCAATGGTGACTTTCGCCACAGACCCAGCCTTACTCGATAAACTCTCAACGGGATGCAGATTCTCCGTTACCTTATAGCGGGGCTCCAGTTTGATGTCCGTTACAATGCCCATTGTTGGCGTTTAACTTTACCCCAGAATCTTAATATGACAACGGACCATGTTTCAACAGCAAGCTCAAGGAAATGTCTGATTGGAGATGGCACTTTTGGTGTCGCGCTCAACTCCGTCGTAGTGTACTATTAATTACTAGCCAAATCACGGGAATAACAAGCGCGCGCCCGCGATCGTCCTCTAGCCCTTCACCTCATTTCCCATCGTCGGGCGCTTCTGCAAATATCGCGATTCGCAGGTTCCCTAGCGCCGATCATGTTATTAGCTCACCTGAACTCTGGAGCCATGTTACAGTATCTATTTTAAAAACGATGGCTTGTTGCGTTTGTTGCGGTTTCTCTAGTTCACCTGTTTAAGTCTCGGGTTTTGGTTGCTCACAACCTATTACGAGACAGACAGCACAAGCACCTCAAACGATATGCCAACAGGTAGGGTTCTTGCAATATGTTGAAATCTGATGGGAAGGGATACACATAATGCATCTAGCATCGGTAAAGTGTAATAAATCCATCATCAATGGGGCCTACAGTTTGTTGGGGCTTTCATGTGATAATGAAGCAAGGGGTTTATATGTAAACAAAACAATCCTACCCTGTACCACATATAAGATGTGAAATTTATCATCATCTTTTGAATGAACTACTGCCACTACCGCATCCTAGCTATCTCACCTGAAATGTCGTTCACGCTCCTTTTTAGGGAGGCCTCATATCCTGAGAGATCCGCTGTTCTCACCATTGCCATGTTGATTAACGGTACGCCTTGATCAACAACATCCACATCCCGCCAAGGTGGGTCATATCCCCAAGCGTTCGTATACCACAACAACAGTATATTAACGTCCCGCTCAATGCATCGTACTCTGAAATTGGATACCTGGAACCGCGTTGCGGTATCGAATCATCGACCCAGAGTCAACAGCTCATGGGCAGTGGAGAGCAAGAGCCATGCTCAAGTCCTATTAAAAGCTCAACAGACTCCAGGTACCCCCCCGAAGCGATCTCGTGAGATAAGATGAGCGCCCCATAGGCCCATAAGTTATGGGCTGAATCAGGATTTCCCATACAGGCAGCAGCTCGTCGCTTGAGAGACTGCTTGTTTTGTTTATTCGACACTGTGATGAGAGTAAACGACACTGATCAGGGGAGTCCATCAACCAGAGTCCCAAGCACTAGATAAGGAAAGTTGCACAAAGAAACAGCCTCAAAGGGCATTGAGTGTAACACGTCAGCTTGACCGCCACATGTCAATAGTTTAGGTGCCAAGCCGAGGAAATAGAGTCTGTGACATTTAGCTTGTACAAAGCAAAGAGTGTTGAGTGTGTTTCTTGGTGCTCGGTCATGGCTAGGTGCAGAAAATGCAACCCTCATCATGCAAAGTGATGGCAAAGACTTCCACGAAAACAGAACAGATTGTGAAGATCTGAGTCAGAGCAACAAAATGCGGCATTGAGTTTTTTCTTCTCTTGTTCCAAGTTGTGAATGTCTCCTGTGGGGATGAGTGACAGCCCTGCCATACTATGAGAATCGAGAACCAAGCTTTTTTATGCCAAAAATGGCTCAATAATGTCTCTGCTCCATCCGTTTGCAGCGTCCATCCATCGTGGACTGCGATGAGGATCCGATCCGGAATCCCGGCTAACAGGTTGCTCAGATATTGACAAGGGATATCATGGTTGTACGCGTGGAGCCCCCCTACTGTGGCTGCGGATGTAATTTCGGACGGTGTTTCACACGGCGGATGCTAAGTGAGAATTGGGTTTAGCAGCCGACGTGGCCCTTTAGCAATGGGTTCAGGTTTGTCCCAAGAGGCTGGGATGCACCAAAAAGCCAAGACATTTAGAATTTTCGTCGGTGGCAGCCTTTGTGCGCCTTGTTCTGAGTGCTTTAATTGTGTGTGTGTGCGTTGTCGTTGCTAGTTGTCGTGATGAGCGTCATATGATGCGTATCATGCGCCTCTGGTGTGAGAGCATTGGAATGACGAGAAGCCAGATGATGACGGTGATGCAGAAGTTGGTGGTCGTTAACCTCTGGCCTTGCATTCGTCAAGTTGGCTGGGCTTGGCACCAGGATAAGCATCGCATCAGCTACCTTACCTACAGGCTACAGGGCATCCTGGGTAGGATCAGCTCAACGGAGTTAGGGCCAACGTTTACGACGGCCTTGTCCGCCTACGTTAGTAGCTGGGAAGTGGGCGTTGAGGGTTCTCGAAGGCCAAGTGCCGGCAGCAAACTCGGTCGTGTTCTCTGCTGTCTTGGCTTAATCTCTCGGGACCGTTTAGTTTTTTATACCATGGTGGATATCAGAAGCTTGGTTGTGGGATCATCGAGTCAGGAATTGGGGCGAAAGAGTGCTGGCATTGCAGCAAAAGTAACAAAGGCCCCAGTGCGTGAATCATTCCTTTGAGGGCCACTAACACAATTGGGCCGTTTGCGGTCTTTTGTTCTTTTTGTTTCCTCTTTTTTTTTGTGTGTGTGTGTGTGTGTGTGTTCCTGCAGAAGGGACCTGCAGTAGACCAAAGCCGGATGAAATCGCGCATGTATAGTTGTTTCAGTTCAGGCACAGCGTGTGTGTGCCTCTATGTGAGTGGTCGTGCATCCACTGCCACGTTAACCCATGTTTCCTTTGCCCACTGTCGCTGTCGTTGACCTGTTGTTTAGGTTCTAAGAGGGAGGCCAGCTCGTCCAATCGGAAACTGCTTTGATGCTACCTGAGGCGGCTGCCCCTGACATACTACCCGCTTTTTGCCAGGGATGGCGTACCCGGCTAGAGATCCACTCTAGCACGGCGCCAGGAACAAGAGCGTCGGCCAATGAAATTGCAGAATGCCTCCAAGCATTTCACCTGAGTCCACCGAAAGCGCCCCAAAACGGCCCCTGCAAGTGGAGGCTCTCGATGGCCCAGGCGGGGGTCTTTCTTCCCAGTCTTTCCAGTCTTGGAAACAAAGATACCAGGTGTCAGGTGAAGACACGGGTATCTCCAACAATCGTCAGCAGGTAAAAGATACATTCCAGTCCACCTCACCACTTGTACTGTACTTCTGGATCATGTCCAAACCACACCACTTGCCTGCCTTATTGCGAGGGACCTCCTTGCTCTTAAACCCTCTATATCCCCCCCATGGTTTCGAATTTCCCTTCCCCTTCTCTCCTTCATCTCGTCAATATCAGCCCGTGTTTTCAACCCTCGTCTCGACTAGTCGTCGCCCTTCTTTATCTGCGTCTTTGATAGATCGCATACACACTCCCTACTCGGCCGTGCCGATCACATAACTACAACTATCGTCTCAGCCCCGATCTTTCGTTGTTGCTTTCACCTTGTCATCCCGACTGTGATCAACCCGAATATCAAGTACAACTTCACATTCATTACATAAGTCGACTGCCGTCTCGGAAAACACTTGGTTTCATCGATCTTTACCCAAATCGCCTTGATTAGGAATACCAGTCATATCAGTCAAGATGATCGCCAACAAGCTCACCATCCTTACCGCTACCGCCGCTCTTCTTGAGCCGGCTCTCGCTCTCGGCCACCGCCACGCTCACCACCAGCACGCCCAGAAGCGTGGTGACTGGGTCGTTGCTACCATTGACGGTCAGGTCGTCTCTTGGGAGAACAACTACTTCGGCCCCGGCGGTGCTGCTCCTGCTGCTACTCAGCCCGCTGCCGCTTCTCAACCCGAGGCACCTTCTGCTCCCGCTCCTGCTGCCGCTCAGCCTACCACCATTATCAAGGTCGCCAAGCCCTCTCAAGCTGCCAAGTCCGCCTATGAGCCCGCTTCCCAGCCCAAGAAGGAGGAGACCGCCGCCAAGGCTTCCCAGAAGGCTGCCATCAAGGAGAAGACTCAGTCCAAGGCCAAGTCTAGCAGCACCCAGTCCAAGTCTAGCGGCTCCACTTCTGGCGGCTCCGCTGGCTTCTCCCACAAGCGCGGTGTCTGCTACAACAACGTTGACCTCGCCAACACTTTCGCCGGCGACTGCAAGAACTGCGGCTGGGGTTACAACTGGGACTCCTCTTCCGGCGGTCTCAAGGGTCTCAACTTCATCCCTACCCTCTGGAACGACCAGCCTCTCCACACCGACCGCTTTGCCGACAACTGTGCCCAGGCTCTGAGTGATGGCGCCAAGGCTATCTTCAGCTTCAACGAGCCTGACAACGCTGGCCAGGCTGACATGACTCCTGCCTACGCTGCCAAGGCCCATGTCAAGTGGCTCAACCCCTATGCTGGAAAGGCCCTCATCGGTGCCCCTTCCATCAGCAACAGTGGTCTTCCCATGGAGGGTGTCGAGTGGCTCAAGAACTGGGTCTCTGAGTGTGAGAAGCTTGGCGAGCAGTGCCACTATGACTTCTGCAACGTCCACTGGTACTCCGAGGTTGAGTACGGTAACACTCTCTTTGACCACCTCAAGGCTTCCCACGAGGCTTGCGGTGGAAAGCCCATCTGGCTCACCGAGTTTGCTCCTACAGGTTCTGATGAGGCCATTGCCGACTGGCTCAAGGATGCCATCCCCAAGCTTGAGGCCCTTTCTTACCTTGATGCTTACTCCTACTTCAAGGTCGAGACTGGCATGCTCATGACCAGCGAGACCGAGCTCAGCTCTTATGGTAGCGTTTACGCCTCCGCTTAAGCTCGCGAAGGCTCATGGCAGATGGCCACTCAGTTCGTTTTATAACTTCTTGTACACTCGCTAGGGAAATACCCAACCATTCAAAATTGGCTTTCGGGAGGGAGGATAAACATTTTCGGTTCAAGGATGGCGCCTGTTGACTTATGTACATATTTTGCATTTAGGTGACCAGGATCTGGCTCACAGTATCCACGTTTATATCGCGGTCAACCTCCTTACCTTTTTCTTATCATCAATTCCGGGATATTACAAAAAGGGAGGACTTGGCAAATAGAACAATTCCTGATCTTAGCAGTTTGATAGACTTCCTTCAGCGTGTAGATAGATCTACGAGCTACGATGACAATGAACAGCGATTTCACTGCTCCAACTACTGTGCCATCCTGTGACAGAACATCTCTACTGCTTGAATGGGTGACGACTTGCACGACTACGTCAAGCTGTCTCATGAGCCTCGACTTGAGACTTTGAACCCTTGCCTTCATCCTAGACCGTGGCCACACCAATGTCTTGATTGAGTTGTGTTGCAGGCTGAGGAATGTTGTGCCATGTGTATGAATGCGGGAGATCAACACCTGACACTATTGTGTCATCCATCCATTCCATTGATGGGTGCGGAACGTCTTTGTCAAGTTCAAGCGTCATATTAACTTATCCCAGAGAATAGATACTCTTCCCAAATCGTGAGGTAATAAGAATATGATTAGATGCATGGGTTTCTGCAACTCTTGGTGATGATTAAAACTAAATATTGGGTATTTCCGCCCCCATCCAAATCACCCCCGATCTTTTCAAATACGCCTAGAACCCTCTTGTCTTTGTCCCAAGAACCTTTAAGCCGAAAACGCCGATTTTTTCTGAGCCAATATTCCAAGCAATTGTCTTCTAAAACAGCCTTGTACTGTAAATTTTACTTGTTCAACGGACGTGAGAACGAAGGTGCCTTGGCATGATGATGTGGCCTGGGGCCACCTTGGATTCGTGTTCGTGGTGGCTCTGCGACTTCTGTGTGGCCTGGAGCAAAAGCAACCGACCGCACCGGAAAGTCTCGGTCTGATTCAATCCCGATATCGTCGTCATCATCGCTGCTCTCCTTTCGTTCGGTCGTAGGCCTGCTCTGACGGTGAATTGTCGTCGTAACGATAACACCACTTGTAGCCCCTGAATGAACTTTGGTCATTTCGAAACCAGGGTCATCCGTCAAAGAGGTGACGGTAGCATGCCCGACAAGAGATGTCTCGTCGTCCACGTCGCGAGGAACGTTGGGAACGTTGGAAGCATGCAGAGAGCTTCTTGGATGAGCTGACGAGGCGCGTCTGCCGATGTAGCTGCCATCCGTAACAGCAGCCGAAGCTGGTTGACTGGAAGAACCAGCACTGTCGCGAGAAGTGACCCATTGAACGACAATGGCCGAAAAGAGGACTCCATATGGTCAGTTATATCCCAGACGCCTTGTTTAAGGTACATACCGTCACTGTTGCAACACATTAGACACACCCAACCCGGCTCGCCATTAAGAACCATTAACACAGTCAAGTTTCTAGTTCATGTTAGGGGTATTCCAAACGCTAGACATCAATGGACTTACACTATGCTGCTTGTCAAGGTACAGCAAGCACCGACGAAAGTACGGAAGGCCACACTGCGGAGGCGGGAGTTCGCATGGGTCTTTGGAAGATTCTTGAATGAATAGAGATCTGACAACTCATTAGCATATGCACGTGAGACTACCGAATGTCGACTAACTTTTAAGAGGGATCAGAAAAAGAATGGTCAGGTAGACATTGACGACGGCATCGAAAGCGATAAGAGGAATCATAGAGATGCTCTTCATGCCGATGAAGCACTCTCCGTTTACAATTCTGGCAATGCGACTAATACCGTTAACAAGCCGTTGGAAAACGAAAGTCAATGCTAGAAGGACCTACTAGATAAAGTTGAGAACGACAACTACTCCATAACCACCAAGAAGTGTGATCATGTTGAACAAGTAAAGTTTCGAGTTTCTTCTTCGTGTAGTAGAACTTCGAATAACATGCTATATACTGTTAGACATGTGACTTCAATTCTCAAACAACATATGAAACTTACAGCTTTCTCGACAAGAAAGACGTATATAAGCTATTCTCGCATTAGTCAAAACCTTCCACAGCACAGTCGACAGGAGAGCCCACAATCTTGGTTGTGACATAGCAGATGAGGCAAAGCAAAATGGCGCCATGGCAGATGTTAAAGCTGCTGTTGACACCGAAGACCTGTTGGAGGATTGCAGAGGTGAAAACAAAACCATAGGAGTCGACGTAGATGACCAGGACGACTATATCATATGTTTAGCCAACAAATTGAACCATATCCTCGCATCAGCTCAAGAGACTTACGCCAAGCAACAAATGGTAACCTGGACCAGGATCTAACGGCAGTAATTCTCTGGACTATTCCATCGTGCGTGTCAGTTTTTAGTGTTAATATCATGAGGGTTTGCAAAGACTTACAAAGAAAGACAGCTAATATTGAACAAGCAGCGAGGGAGACCATAACCGACATAATATCCCCTCCTATAGGAACAGGTTTCGGTAGATATGCCTCGCGAGGCTCGAGAGAAGGCTTGGGAGCCATATTAGATGGTGTTTGAGGACGCTCGTGTCAAAATGCGATCCGAAAGAACAACCAAGCATGCAGCAGAGTTCTTGTTACTATCCCTAGTGATAATAGGCAGATCTTCGATAGAAAGACGAAAATAATTTCAAGCCTTGATCAGAGGGTTGCGTACGGTGATAGTTAAGGAGGAGGAGAAGGACGGGGAGAAAAGGGCAATTGCCCAGACAGGTATAAAGTCAAAGCATAATTTGTGGCTATAGAGTAGAAAGATCAAGCCAAGACACTTTACTGACTGTGCGGAAGCCTCAGACCTCTAGTTCTTCTGCCGACAACCTATCCAGTAGTCTGGAAACTAGGGGTCTCTAGCTCAACCCAACTAATGTCTTGAAAGCTGCTCATGGGTCCGTAAATGAAATAAGCCCCGAGATGAGCCAGAAGCGGAAGAAGTTCAGGCACCATGCAGAAACGCTTTGAGTGGCCGCAGGCACGAATGATACCGGAATACTGAGCGGCATAGCTGTTGAGCCAGGCACAATGATTCGGGGACCAACAAAGAGATCGGTACTTTGTTCACCAAGAAATTCAGTGTGAAGCGACCAACGATTTGGGATGAATATCGAAATAAGGTTAGAGCGGAGTGGTCGTTACTTGATGAGCCACTGACGGTGGTGGACGGGAGTACGATGGGTGATGCTCTTTGTGGGCACTGTAAAATAGTCTGGGATAGCGACGGAGGATCCGAATACCTAGCTGAATCCTTGGCGATGTCCCGGCCTCTGTTTGAGTATTTGATATGGCTCACGAGTGCGGTATGTCACCCATTGTTAGACTTGGTTCCGGATGCAGGTAGGAGAAAATCATTGTATTTGTGATGGTACAATGTTGGTAAAAGCTATTTGATAGAATGTCATTCATTTCGAGTCACAAAAGGTTGACTCGTAAAGCATTTGTTCGATCGATTTTCCAGAAGTCATCCCAATTCTTGATGATTGGTGATTCTATCAAGACTCAGGAATGTCCAGTCTCGGTGCAAACTGTGTTGGCCGATATTGTTGCTTTCCCATTAAAACAATACCAGGGAGAGCTGCTAATGATTACTCTAACCCCTGTCCCTTGCGGCATGGCGTTCGATCGATACGGCTGTGGCTATGATAAAAAAGAAAAGGGACTTGAGATGAAGCCGACCCATTTCGGTTGGGAGTTCGATAGGAGGCGACAAATGGGAATAAACAGATCGACCACACCCTAACTTCGATCGTTCATCGGGTGGTGTAAGCCATCCTCGACATGGATGTGCTCAAACCCGTGGTATGGCTGGACGTTGTGCACTATCGAGTGCGCACTGACAGTGGCATCGATACCGGAGCAACGGAAGAGTGCCCCGTGCAGTGTTGTCGATAGATCGTGGCTTGTGTTGGCTGTGATGGTGTTTTTTCGAGGCTTGAGGAAATTTGAAGCTGCGAAGTGCTCAGATAATGTCTCTCCCTGAGCAAACTAGACGAAAGGGGAGTTGCTATCCAATCCTGATTAAGTAGGTAGGCAGGTGCTAAGGTAAGTTGGGAAGTTGTTTCCCGTCTCGAATGTGGAGAGTTCTTCTGAATCCCGACACCCTGTTTAATGGGTAGGAGGAAACAACCATGTGCTACAGTGTAAACAGGGACCAAATACAGCAGGCAAGTAGAGACTGGGGAAGGGGAACCTCCCAAACCCGTTCATGGTAAAGCCTTCTCAGCTTTGAACAAATCCTTCACCTTCCCGAAGCATCATATTCTTCCCCCTATAAAGGAAGAAAGAAAAACCCCCTTCTCCTTGTTCAAATCCTCCCGTCTTCCTTCTTGCTCTATTGTTAGTACTTAGACCCGGCTAGATCCGATCTATCCACCCCCGGAATCAATCAAGATCCTTCGCGCTAATCCCCCTGACGAGGTCCCGTTACGAAACCCTCTAACACAATCCGGACTGTGCCTCGACTCGAGATTGGCCGACGGACAGTAAATCGGCACCACTAGGGAAACTCCACGCGTATGTGGTTCACCTGACTCGGCAGGAATTGGAGATCCAAAGGCGGCATTGTGGCGGGTAGGTTCTCCCAAAGTCACGGTTCAGTAGTTGCCATCCCGCTTGGCAAAACAACTTTCCGACATCCTGGTGGCAAATAGCTCCAGATATCTTCCCAGAAAGATCATTTCAGGCTGAGGTTTTGCAGCTTGAGCACAGCTCGCAGAATAGCATCACCGATCTTGAGCCTCAGATGTTCTTCAGCCCTCATTGATCAGTTCAGGCTGTGTGCAATGAAGGAGACCTGGGCTGAGTAGCATTGTCAGTATTGGTCGATCTCGACACCCCTGCCCTCTAGTGTCGATAGCTCAAAGCTTGTTTATCATAGGCTGCCAGAAATCCAAGACGACGATTTGCGCTGAAGATTGTTCTGTTCATCTGCTGCTGCATTACCGTTGGTCTGGATGTGGCCCGGGATCATATTTCATAAGCTCACATCGTACCAGCATATTCACGGTATCGGTTTTGAGATCACATACGTTGCACAGGCCTGATTCGCCAACCACTACCAACATGCTGGCTGTAAGTTGCTCATGAAACCCAAGAAAGTTTGCATTTATGCAATTCAATGACTCCAGCGTGTTGTTTATGGTGGGAGCAAGTGACTCTTAAAGTTCTACCTGAAACACGGAAATCAAGGGTGCTCAACAAACACTTCCCACGTAGCGTCATTATCTTATTTCCAGTTGACACTTACATTATGAAGGTCAGGAAACCAATACATTGCCCGAGATCCATTTTCACTGTGGTGGCGATATTTGAGCAACTAAGTTCTTTGTAATTACCCCGACCTCAAGCTGCGGCGGCAATTGTGCCTCCGAAAAGCCACAGCCTGGTTGCTGAACTTAGCATCTTTGGGTTCCAACAGTCTTTGTTGTCCTTATAAGGATGTCAGGATTTATCACAAAGCCCCGTTGCGATGCGCTGAACTCTAACTAACAAGGCTGGTTCGTACAGTCCTGATGATCTACCGAGGTAATAAACCCAAGAGGCTCTCGAGTTACATTCTCCTGCTGACTCTGCGACTTTTACCCTTCACCTGTGGTGCCATGTCACTGGAGCCAAGCTCTGGGTTCGGATTCTCAACTGACTGAATCAGATGCTGTTATGATGCACGATACCGACGCTGGGCGCTTGGTTGCAAATATCTTCAACGAACGGCGTTGCATGTAGGCTTGAGTGAACATTAAGGGTCTGTTTATTCATTGCTGGATTATGGAAGGTTCACTACCATATGCTGGTATCCTAATCAAATCTTTTAGAGGACTCCCGCTGTATAAGGTCTCGATTTCGTATAAGCGTGTATAATAATAAATCATCAAAGGTATCATATGTAAGGTAAGAATCTGCACTCTCGGATAAGCCGAAAGTGATCATCAACCACGATCGTCGTGAGCACGCCCTTATGTGCGATCATCCAAAGAAACGCCTTGCCATGCTTCCCATGTGTGTCCATATTAAAACCCAAGTTATCATTCCTCAGCCTCAACGCCGATCCCGAACATTCTTCTCCTTCAAAACGGTTCACAAATGCATGCAAGGGACCCTTCTGCCCCTGGTTAACTCAAAGTGTGAAGCCTTTCGAGCCTCAGTTCTCAGCCCTAAACTCATATCGCCGGTAACATAAATACTCCGGCACCTCCGTGCTACTCACTAGCTCCCCCGTTGGCTTTCATGATCTTCGACGGCTTGAGCGCGTGTGCGGATTCTAAATCTATCCCGAAGCCTCGCCGCAAATCGTGCACTTTGGCCCTGCGACTCGCCATCGGCCGCTTCAGTAACTTCTGTTGTCTCTTGATTGCTATTTTCATTAGTTTCCGCCCGCATCTGCCGTAATGCTTCCATTTGTTCTTCCACTGTCCCCTCTCGAAGGCGGTTAATATCAAAAAGTCTCGAGAGTCGGTTACGGTGAGATGACTGAGGCGCGTCGTTCTCAGCACCCTCCATTGCCAGAGGTGGCGGCAGTGTGCTAGAGTCGCCAACATCCGCCTCCGCCGATGCATGACCCTTGCCTGGTCGTAAGTCATAGCGGCTAATAACGTGTCAGTATACATAAGGATCGGATCATTTCACAAGGTAGTAACTCACCACAATGGACACGTGCCAGATACGTTAATCAGCCATGGATCAACACATGCTGGATGGTACTGATGCTTGCAGGGCAACACTCTAACATCTTCACCAACCGTAAAGTCTTCAGTGCAGATAGAGCATCCTAAGTGGTCGCTCGTCTCGTCTTCGGCACTCTCGGGAGAAGACGATGCCCTAGTCGCGGCTGGTACGGCATTGGTCTCCCCACCTGGTGCCTGAGCCCCGTCAGACCGTCTGGCCTCACTGAGGCGTGACGCAGTTCGCTGTGTGGCAGCATCGTTCCCTTCCGTATTTTCCAATTCCAATTCGGGGTCTGGCTTTGTAGGCGTCTGGTTTCCAAATTTGACAATTGGGATCGTATCCAATACAGCCCGAGCAAGTCCCTTGGCCCGACTCTGCCGTGGCCGCCCGCCAAGTGCACCTCGTGGCCCGTATCTTTCAGGATATCGGTGGGCTCTCACAGCGCCTGTCGTGATGATGACCAAGAATAGCAGAGTAATCAGGCCAGTGATGGCGTACAAAACACTCATGGCAGCCGTGTTACTACCCCCTTTGCTCTCATCCTTCGGTATCGTATTATCCGTGTTGTTACCGAAGATGCTCGCTTTAACCACTTCACCACGGCTGGTGCCGTTCAAGAGGTTCAGGGCTTGTGTGGCCTCGCCTCCATCGGCCATGGACAAGATACTCGTAAAGGGAAGTTTTTCGACTGGGTCGATGGCACACCATGTGTTGGACGTAGAATACAGGACTATCGCCCTAAGATGAGGATCAAGCTGCATCAATGTGTTGAGCATCTTGTTGGGGCTGAGAAAAGAGTCGCCTTTAGGTTCGTCGCATGACAGATAGGCGATATCGTCTTTATCAGTCACTTTGTTGTAATTTGAAGAGTCCGTCGCAATCATATTACCCGTGATATGAATAATCTTTCGAATCGTTATTAGCATTAACCAGGAAACAGTGCAGAGCCAAGACATACATCTATTACTCGACCGGTGGAATCGTTCAGTCCCAGATTCGATGTAAGAGGGATCACAGCAAACTGCAGCCCAGGGTTCGCTGACAACGAGAGCTGCATGCCGTTGATAGTGGCCCATTCGGGGATTTCGGTTTCGGCCCATGTAGAGACTTCAGTGTCATCGGCAAGGACACCTGTAAGAGTGCAGGCTAGGATGGAGATGAAGAGTGCCATCCTGCCTGTGCTAATTATCGTCGAGAATCTCATGATTGTGGTTGTATAGCGGTGGTGTCGAGGGTAGGAGAGGTGTTGAATAACGCCGGTTGTGGGCGACGGCGAGACTACAGACGGGCTCTATGCGTAAAGTATCGTGTGTGGTCGTCGATTTTGTGTACGTAGGGGCAAGGCTGATACGATTGAAGTCATCGCCGGTTGACGTTTAGGTGGAAGCCGACATGTCGGTTCTGAATCGCATGGGCCGGTCGCAATTCTCCTGCACTACACTCGTCTCGTATTTGTATTGCGGTTCGTTTTCGGTCAGGGGTTCCGCGGGCTGAGTTGGAAAGAGTTAAATTCAAGTTCAAGGCAAATTGATGATGGAGGGAGAAACAGGAGCAGTCTTCAAATCCATCACATCCTGGCCATGATGGGCCCCGTCGGGTCCCGTATCGGGGTGGAGCCCACCCGAAAAAAGTTCCCGCGCGCCCGCTGACAAGCGACAACAGAGGGGAACGGCAACTTCCAGCCACTGGAAACACAGCGTTTTGGCTCAACCAAGCCACTAAGAGCTCACTACTGTCACTACAAGCTTGGCAATTATTCAGAGCCAATTCTGCTTGAATCAGGGCCATCAGTGTGGTTTTGTAGACGTTAATGAATGATGATAACTTGCTTGTTTCAGTTGCTGATCGCTTGAGCTATCTATAAGATACATACCTAAACAGACAATCAATTCATTAAATCACTATGATTGCAATAAAGTATATCCATCTCTTCCGAAACTATAAAAGCGTCTATGTTGGCCAAGCTCTCGACCAACATGATCGCGTGAGGGGAAGCCGCATGGATGATATATCGGTCTTGTTAGTCATGTTATATGGTGATACCCTACATATTCTTAATCTATATGTCAGGTAAGGTAGTTAACGCCAATGATATCTAATGAGATAATCTACACATTCTAAATAAAAAACGTATCCCAACATCTTTTTGTAGTACAATAGGAATCATTGTTGACAATGTAAATATTTCACTGATTAAATAAACTTTATCGTGGTTACTGTTGTGAATTTAAGATATCAAGAGGAGATTGACGCAAGCCCTTGAATTTTTCTTTTAAATCTTGACCATTATAGACAACTAGGGTCTCGTTTATATACTGAAGGGCTTTTATGAATCATTAGATCATCAGATCGACATATTTGAAGTAATATTATAAGCCAGAAAGTGATCAGAGAAAGATAAACGACATGGCAAATTACTCAACCTCCTGTTATTACACATTGACAGATTGAACAATCGAGAATTTCAAAGTAACATGAAATAGAATAATATCATGCGGCAGCTTTAGCCGCCTTATTCGATGTATTTCCCTGGCTATTTTATTGCTCGTCAGTATTCATGGTTGGGCTAATGCTGGGTTATCAGCAAGCATGCTTGAACTAAGTACTTTATCACTTTTCAGTACTTGAATGTAGTCCGAAATAACTGTTCAGAATTTAAAATTAATATAAAACCTTACGAGATAGGCTTTCGATCCCCTCGAGCGTCGTTTTGGCAGCTGAGAGGAAGAGTAATTTGCCACTTATCACTAGGGTTGGAAGTATCGTCGAGCTTCCATTCTGGGGCACTTGAAGATCAATTGAGAGACAAGCAAGGCAACTTTGAAGTCTATGGTATATACGAGTTGAGACAATCAGCAATAGCCCAGGGGATCAGACTCAGTTTCATGAACTTGGTTGTTGTTCAGGGCGCACAATTTGGAATACATATCAAGGGGAAAATATACCACAGAAACATTCTCATAAAACAATAGAGGGTATGGTACACTAGAAAAGATGGCATTTGAATGATAAATAACATTGTGGCTGAACGATGTTATCATATATAAGGTACCTTAGACTGTACCGTTACACTTTCTCGATGTACTATTTACCTATTGTGTTTTCATAGTAACAACCCTCAAGCTCAGAAAGCACAGAGTTTGATTGGAAAGATGTATTTGTTCGGATATATTCTGGGTGAATTTTCCAGGGAAATGATTAGCCCTGGGTATGCCGTTTACAGATGGTGACATGATCATCCATCAGCATTCAAGACGCCAGTATCTAGTGCCAATCCATTTCTAAGAACCCCAGTGCTACATACATTTTAAAGATAACAATGGCTGGCAGCCCAGAGGTTAGAGATGCTTACGAAGACACAGTGAGTAATCAGATATCCTGTTACAATCATAACATCCATTTCCACCTAAGCTGTAAATGGTATAGAACACCAACTCTTCCCGAGAGACTACGCAGGAGTATATACATGGTACAATGTAGTACTTGTGATGTTCAAATAGATATGACATGACCCATAGTCGTGATGAATATGGCCCCACGTCACACTCTTCAAAGGCGTCCAATACAGCTCAGGGCCTGCAGTACCGTTATGGTCATATACTATTTCCGATCGGCAGTTGGGTCCAATTAGAAATGACTTATGCAGGCGCGATCTTGTCCTTTTGTAATAGAAACATAGTATCGGCGAAAAGATGAAAAGGACGCCCAGCTTTTCCGTGGTGCCATGGTAACCTCCTGAAATAGCAAGGCACAGGAGAGATGCAACTATTACCATTGAAGCTAGCTGTAAGAGTTCAGTATGACACAAGTTAGTTACTCACAAATGTAGTGTATATATGCTACTGAGGAAGTGTATATACCTGTTTGCATTTCATAATCTGATACCCACCCTGCACCATATAACACAATCGTGGTCTTCTAATCCAGCACAACTCAACAACTATATCACCTCAAATAATCGCAACAGTTTCTCAGCCACTCTTAAGCTCACTCTGGATATACAAGAACAGCTATATAATAGCTATTGTTGTTGGAATAAAGTTGCCGAGCCGTTGCTGCAAGATTTCACGGATCGGGAATCGCGTTGCTCAAGAGATGCAGGGGAGACCAGATGGCCGCCGCGTACGACGGAGAGATCTTACGCAGGGGCCGGGAATCTATGATAATAGATCTTGGGATGCCAATTCATGTGTTTCACAAAGTGGACGGGAAGATCTGGCTTGTGAGATCTCGGTTTGGTGACTGATTTGTGTATCCGTGTTCTGTAAAGCCGGCAGACCTGATGGCCTTGCACGACCAAGTTGCCAGGCTCCGGCTATGATAAAATTACTCCCGGTTGAAAGTACTTTGGAGGGTAGGCTTCCCACAGAGCCTGGCTCTAATTACAACCACCAGGTACACCGTTCGCTGTAGATATCAATGTTTACTCAACAGAGAACCACCAACCCTAGACCATCGAGCTGTTCACACTCGAGACGTCTAAATCTCCTCCATATCTTCCAAGTCGTCGAGAGCAGGGAAATCGCCCACCTCAACCCGCTCCGGCCTCACAAAGACACCATGCTTGAGCTCAGAGGGCTCGCCCCAGTATCGAGTACCAGCGATGCTACCGTCATTCTTGCCAACGGGCTCATCGAGCTGGACTCCCACCCATGAACCGAGACCGCCGGGGATCTCCTTGACCTCACCGACGTACTGGATGACACCGCGTCGAGTATCCTCACCGCCAACGCGACACCGTCGGCCGACAGCAATGCCCCGCGTGGCAACCTCGCGGTCAAGAGCCTGCAGCTTGGCCTCTTCGTGGCTGGGAGCATCTGGGTCGAAACGGCCTAACTTCTGAGCCTTCTTCCAGGCTAGGACCGAGTCCGTCTTTTTCTCGTACTCTTCTTCGGGCATGACATATTTGTCGACGCCCGAGGTGTCATTCAAGTTGATCCGAGAGGCCGCAGGCCGTGTGTCAATTACCTACCAGGTTGGATCCCTGTCAGCCTTATCCAAAGTATTGGAGGGTAAAAAAAGTCTATGGTGGCACCACTAAAAGAGTGACGATCCTCTGGTCCCTGAACGCGCGCACATACGCAACAGCTCAACTCCCACCGCCTCTCCCGCTCGGCCCCCCCTCGCCACACTTCTCAAGTGCCAGCTCAGCACCGGTGAATAGCATGGACCTGGGAACCTTGAAAAGTCGTCGACAGCAACACCGCAGACAGAAGAGTGAAGGGCAGCGAGAATATCTCGGCCAAGGCACATGGCATGGGAAAGTAGCTGACAAATGAGAGGCCGTGCTATGATGCACTCTGACTTACATGAAGCTCTGCATACGGGGCCAGGGGAAAGTTGGACAAGTGGGTGTCGTCTTCGTTAGGCGCCTCAATAGCGATAGCCTCTGCGCCAGCTGTGGGCTTGAGGGAGAGCCGTTGGCAAGAGGGCGGAACACCAGTGACAGTCTCAAGCTTGCCCTTGAGTTGGGAGATGGACCATGACGGTGTAATGCGACGCTCTGATTGCGCGAATTCTGAGATAACAACGAGCGGAACGTCGGCCATGGCTGACAGAAAGTCTGGATGGATGGATGGATGGATGGATTGACCTAGGAATATCTCGGTGTGTGTTTGGCTGAGACGCTTGTCTTTGCTTTGCTTTGCTTTGGAGGGGCGGTCAAAGAATGAGGTACTTGCGAGACGCCTACGCCGCTCTCAGGATTAGGTAGAGCAAAATGAGAACCGAATTCCACGGGTCAAAGTGGTATTTCCAAGGAAGAAAAGAGCTGAGCTTTGCCTATGTTGGGTGAGAAACGATGACAGTGATCGAACTTGAGTGAGTGTGGTGGGGTTATGATTATGCAGTCCAGGGTTCGAGAAACACCAGCTAATGTGCTAAAGGGTAACTAGCATCAAGGAGGATGCAAAAGCAAGGGCGGAAAAGAATAAAAAACATAAAAAACATAAAAAAAGCAAAACAAAAAAACTAAAAGAAGCACTTCGAACCAGAAGACAGCCTCTGCCGGAACTCAGGGCTTGCGCAATGCAGAATGCAAAAGCACCTAATATCATATATCATTTACATTTCCCGCCTTAGGCTGCTTGGGGGGGGGGTTTCAACTTTTGAAATAGAGACGGGATTGGTCCGTTTAGATCTGAGGCGGCAACGACGTCAACTCCATCATCAACAGGTCCCAATATTACTGTAATCGTATGTACATACGGTAACTCATTAGTGCGAACATGATTACCTGCATGCATTGTACCTAGTTCCCTACGTGCCATATCGTTGGTTAGTCCTTGGCATGCCATGATAGGTCAGGCGTGGTTCTTGAGCTTTCAGCCAAAAGCAACTTGCTTCATCTTGCACAAGCATCCCTACCTAAGATGGAAATTGGAGGGATTCAGCACAGGCATGCATTATCAAATCTGGTATGTAACTCATCAGCTGTCGTCAAAATGAGGGAAAAAAAGCAATTGATGTTCGTCTTGGCTTGAACATCTGCGAAATATCGCAATATGTTCCTAATTTGGAGTGAACTTCATAATGCCGTGTCACGAATACCTCCAGTTTCCTTTTGTCTCTCCACGCATGAAGTCCAAGCGAAACCTGCATGTGCATGTCTGTCTGAAGTCCACTCACAAGAGCACGGCAGCAGATTCTACGTTGCTAGGCTACCTCACATAGATTGTCGACCGGCTAATGGCGGGAAGGATCTGAGATGGATATTC